CGTCTGAATCCCAGACCATGTGGGGAGTGAACACAGATCCTGACCTTCTGTTGTAGGCCAGGATCTCCGGAGCTAATACTGAGGCAGAGGTTGGGGTGCAGGGTGGGTGTTGGAAGTGGGAAGGTGCAGGACTGGACAGGGCAAGGTCAGCCTGGGGCGGCCAGTGGGGAGCATTGGAGGCAAGTGTTCCTCATGTGCCCAGGCGGGCCAAGCTGGCCAGGACTCCCTGTCACCTGATGGGCCACCTGGTAGGCTGCCCTGGGCAGCTGTGACCTGGCAATGTGGGTCCTGCAAGAACCAACAAGGGTCTGTCCACTTGGCATCCTGCCCACCACTGGGCAGTAAGGCCTCAATGGGTGACCGTTTCTGTGGAGGCCTCCTGTGCCACTTGAATTCACGCCTCTGCTTGGGGGATGGCTCCTCCAAGTCCCAGGGCTCTGCTAAGGGGAAGCTGGGAAAGGGACAGGAAAGGGAGGACTATAGGCTGGCTTTGCAGTTGGTGTGGCCTCCTCACGAGGGTCTGAGCCCTCTTTCTTGGTGGGCCCCATGGGTTCCTCAGGTGCTTCCTAGCCCCTGTAGAGTGGCACCCCACCTCTTGTGGTAGGGTCTGTTACGCCCACCGGATGGGCTCTCTGCCAAGATGCCCGGGAGGCAGCCAGGGTTTGTGGCCCAGAAGGTCTCCTGCTGTGACACTGGTGAGCGGGCGCTGCAGTGACCAACTCTGCCGAACCCAGCGCCATGGGGTGGGTGGCCGAGCCCTGTGGGCAGTGGAAGTGATGAGTAGGGCCCATGCCCCTCACCAATGCCTAGATAGGCCATGTCTTCCCACACAGGAAGGCCACCTGGCGCTTGGCCACAGGAGGACTTCTGGCCTCTGTCCCTCTAGGCTACACCCCAGGGACTGGTGTGTGTCCACCCAAAAGCCACGCTTGGGCTCTCTCCTGTTCCCAGTGGTTTGTAGGTCCCCCAGGGCCATGGGTGACACAGCCATGGGGTTGGGGTGTGGCGGGTGTTGTGGGGTGGGGCAGCCTGCTCACACTCCACCTCAGCTGTGTGCTCAGCACTGAGCCCTCACCCTACGAGGGCCCAGACACGCTGGGAGTGTAGTCTTCTGCCACCTTGTGGCTGTGTGCGATTCTCACCTGCTGCCAGCCCCGGAGTGAGCGGCCTCCTTTCTGCACAGCGGCCTCCCCTTGTGGGCCTGCCGGCTCTGCCAGCAGCAGGCCAGTGTGCCCGGAGCAGCTGTAGCCGTACCTCACTCAGCACGCAGGCTGGTGTGCAGGGCGCACAGCCTGCAAAGCCCAGGGCTGCCTCTAGCCAGTACAGATAAAGGCTTGTCTTAGGTGGGGCGGGCGTCACCCTCAGGAATGTTCCAGAGGGTCCTTTGGCTTGCTGACCACTGGGTCATCCTGCCCAGTCCACAGCACAGCCTGGCTGTGTCCGGTGCCAGGCAGGAGGGGTGGGGCCCAGTGGCAAGGTTCTGTCATCTGCTCCGCAGTGTGGACATGGCCAGGGCTCTTTTCTGGTTGGTGCAGAATGTGGACTCGCCAGGTCTGTGGCTGTGTCTCTGGTGCCCCAAGCCCAGGGAGTCCATCTCTCAGAAGGCCCTGCTTTTGTGCATATGTTCCACTCGCCCCCACAGCCCCGGCTCTGGCAGTTAAGACTTGGCAGGGGGCTCCCGTGACCCTTGCTGTCAGCAAGCCCACGGTCGACCACCCTCTGGCACCATCTAGAACACACAGCTCTAAGCTCAGCTGGCTTGGTCCTTGGCCCTGCCATCCGGCACAGGGCACAGAGCTGCTGCACAGGTGGCACTGGCCTAGCCCTTGGAGGCCTGTCTTGGCTTGCTTTCGGTGCCAGTATGAGGCCCCACTGGTGCTCTCCGCTTCCGGGTCTGCTTGGGGACCGGCGTGGTCCGGGCTCCTCCAGCCTCCAGCTCCAAGCCCCATTTCTCCTTTCGGGCCGCCATCAGGCCTGTGGTCATGGGTGGCTTTTAGGAGCCGGCCCTGAAGTAGGATATGGGATACAGCCCCTAGGAAGTGGTCAGCAAGTCCTTCCTTGAAGGGCCTGTGGGGCGTACCTCCACCCTACCTCCCCACCCACAGAAGGCACCCCATATAAGGATCTTGCAGCTGGGGGTTGGCTGAGTGCCCATGGCTCACCCTCTGCCCCTTTGCCTTCCCCAGTACTATGCTGAGTGCCACGGTGTCATCTATGTCATCGATTCCACTGACGAGGACAGACTGTCGGAGTCCAAGCAAGCTTTCGGTGGGTACAGCCCACCCGGGGCTGGGGGGCTGTTCATGTCCAGTCCGCACATCCCATGTGTCTGGCGCTGGGCCATGTCAGGTCAAAGGGTCCTGGCCATGAGGGAGTGTCCCCGCCTGTGAAGAGGTTGGTAGGAATGTATGGACTCCTGGGTGTGGCTGGGTGGTCAGGGGGAAAAGGGGGAAAAAAGGGTGCTAATGCCTCCTCTTGCCTATTCCAGAGAAGATGGTCATGAGCGAGGCTCTGGACGGTGTCCCCATCCTGGTGCTGGCCAACAAGCAGGATGTTGAGGTGAGCCTGCTCCCACCTTCCTCAGACACCCTGCACGGCGGGTCTGCCCCAAGTGCACAGAGCTCTTCTGAGGCCTCTCCTGGCTGTGCAGGGCACTTTTTCTCCACTGGGGGTGCGGGGGTCGGGGGGGCGGGGCAGCTACACCCTGTCTCTCTGCAGCCCTGGGAGACCCAGATGACCCGCAGAAAGCTCTGGAGAGGAGACAAAGGTGGTGTCTTTTCAGGGCGGAGTCAGAGCTGACGCCAACCTGTCTGCTGCTCTTGGAGTTGGCAGCGGTGCTAGCCCTACTCCCAAACCAGGGGCTGTCTGGGGAGGGACACAGGCCATTCTGGGGACCACCAGTCAAGGGCTGTGCGCAGGGTGGGTGTTTACAGCATCCTGAGGGTGCATCTTAGTTTGCTCCCATCTGCCTGCTCGTAGCTGTCTGAGGCCACTCACCAGGTAGAACCCTCCTGGGCAGAGAAGCCCTGAAGGGCCCACCTTGGCCTCCCATCCTGTTCTCAGCCCCCATCTTTGAGCTCTGGCAGCTCTAGGGACTGCCCTGGGGGCCAGACAGTTTCTCTGATGCCGGGAAATGGCCTCAGGCGGGATGGGCTGTGCCTTACAGCCTGCCCCCCTGCACCCCCCAGACTTGCCTCTCCATCCCGGATATCAAGACGGCGTTCAGTGACTGTACCTCCAAGATCGGCCGGCGGGACTGCCTGACCCAGGCTTGCTCAGCCCTCACGGGGTGAGTGGGGCTCTCACCCTGCCCCAGGGTCCCGGGTCGCCCCACCTCATACCTACTGTCTCCACAGCAAAGGGGTGCGCGAGGGCATCGAGTGGATGGTGAAGTGCGTCGTGCGGAATGTGCACCGGCCGCCGCGGCAGAGGGACATCACGTAGGTGCAGCCGGCACCTGGGGCACGTACAGCTGGTGCCTGAGCCAGGAGCACACCTGCCAGCTGGAGCCACCAGTCCCGGGGCTGGGGCTGGCTTTGCCTTTGGATTTTTTCATTTGCTTTGTTTTTTCTCTAAGACAGACTTTTGTGTCCTGAAAAGTGTAGGTGCCCGGAGGCTTCTGCCAAGGGAGTGGGGGCAGCAGGGCCCACTCAAGGCCTGGTTTTCGGCCCTGTGGGTGCCCTTTGGAGCTGCTTGCCCCAGCCTGGCCTGGGCGGGGCTTCAGGAAGCCCGGTTGGAGGTGGGTTATCCATCCACAGCATGCCCACGAAGCTCGGCCTCTGCTTCCTCTGATCATGGAGGTGGGCTGGGAGTTGGAGTCACCTTGAAGGAGGCCTAACCCACATCCCCGAAGGCCTGCAGGTCCTGGGCTCTGGTGCAGCCCCAGGACTGGCTAGGTGTGATCTGCCTAACCATGTGGACCCTGCTGCCGCCACCACCACCGGCCCACGTCAGGGAGCAAAAAGCTGGGAGTGGGAGGCCCCTAGCACACCTGCCACCACCTGGGACGGCCACGGCTGCCAGCTCAGGGATGCGTCAGGGATGTGGGGGTGTTGGGAGGTGGGCTGGGTCCCTATGTTGCCCCATTGGTGCCTGTGCTCCCAGCTGAGCGTGAGGAGTGCATCTCCTTCCAGGCCTGTGCCCAGCAGCACAGGCCTTCCAGGCAACGCTGGTCCTGGGGCCCCTCTTCACATGGCCCCTGTGGGAGCTGGTGACCAGCAGCCTGGCCAGGGTGCCTGTGCAGAAAATAAAGGCAGTCTGCGTGGCCCCTGTGTACCCTTCTCCGAGCCTGTGTCATGGCCACAGCCCAAGGGCGTCCAGGCCGTTTCTTGCTGTCCTGGGAATGGCTGGGCCATAGCCAGTGACCTGCTGGCTTCATGTTCCAGGGAGGTCCCACCAGCCTCTCCTCCCTCCCTTCCTTCCTCCCTCCCCAGAGGAGACCTGAGAGGAGCTGCTGGGAAAGGGATGAGTCAGGGATGGGGCTGGGGACCCAGTGGCAGGGGAAGTGACTCATGGGAAGTCCTGGGCCTTTTGGGAGGTGGGGGCAGCTAGGGCTGTGAGTCCCATCCCCCACCCCTCCACCCACCCTGGAGCCGCTTAGTCCCTTGTTCCCTGGCTTCCCTCCTGTGAGGGTGTGATCCTGCCCCGAGGGAAAAGCCATTTCCCAGAAAGCTAGTGGGACACTGGTCTCCTGGGAAGTCCCCTGCGGTAGGGAGTGGGTGGGACTCAGTGGGGGGCAGTCGCTGAGTCCTCTTTCACAGCAGAGCCCCTGGACTTGGGGACCCTCCTGGGCACTGCCACTCCTTGACTGGCCCTGACCTACCCTCCACACTCCCAGCTACCCAGAGCTCAGCTTGGGGGCGGGCCATGGAGTGAGCCTCAGCTCCCCTGTGCCCCACAGCGGGAAGGCCCCACCTCCACCCACTGGCCACTTCCCATGATCCTCCCTGTCATCAGGTCTGCCTCAGTCCACCACCGTCACACAGCAGTGTCCTGCACAATCAGTTTTACAAAAGGGTTTTATAAAAACGACACGCGGTGCCCGGTCAGTAGAATAAATACGGGGCTCAGCTGGCCAGGAAGAAGCGCTTTCGGATGGTGCGCTCCACCCCCGGCAGCCTGGCTGTGTGCAGGGCCTGCAGCAGCCCCGCCACCAACGCCCCTGGCCGGGCCTCACGGAGCTTCATGAGTTGCCTCTGCAGCGTCTGCTGCAAGGACATGCGGTCCTCCCAGGGCCGACGGGGAGTCCATGCCCCCGGACCCGACAGGGCCTGCTGCAGCTGCAGGAGTCTCCTGAAGGAGACGTTCTGGAAAGCCACGAAGTCCACAAGGGCGCGCTCACACTCCTCGGTCTCTGTGGGAGGGTCAGGCAAGGTGGAGGTTGTGCCAGGTCCTGGGGTGAGGGCTCCCTGCAGACAGAGCCCCCCCCCCCCATGCCCCTGCTGGGACCCCATGCCAGGAGGGTGGGTGGGAGAGGCGGCCCTGGGGTGAGGGGATGCCACTGCTGACGAGCACTCAGTGATGGGGTGGGGAAAAGCATTGCTTGCCAGCTAAAGCCATCAGCACCGTGCACTCAATGGTGCCACTGCCACTACCCGTGGCTGCTCCGTGGGTTTTGGGGACCCTTGACCCCACGAGGCTGGAGGCACTTCCCAGACTCCCACTAAATGCCTCATGGCTCCAAGAGTTGGGGCAGGGCACAGTCTGAGCTTGCTGCCCCGTGGCCCATCCCCCCTCATCTGTGCCCCTTCCCCCGGCTCACCTGTCCCCCTCCTCACCTGTCCCCCTCCAGTCACCTGCACCCCCTGGCTCTGGAGTGCTGAGTGGAGGGCCTGTGCAGCTGGTGCACATGGTGTCATGGAAGGGGGTGCCCGGCACGTTGAGGACCAGGCCCAGGGCCGTGCAGTTGCGGTGGGGCTGGCACTGCCCTGAGCTGGAGCTGTTGGCCGAGAAGGTGCCTGGGGGACATTGCTGGCACTGTGTGTCCTGGGTGGGGGTGCCTGGGGATGAGATGGAAGGACAGGGTCAGGGGGACCCGGGGCATCCTCATGGAAGGAGTCCTGGCCCAGCACCACCCACAGAGTGCCCAGCACCCACCAAGAGCAACCACTCCATAGCCAGGCGGGCAGGGCGTGTGCTCCAGGCAGAAGCCCGCGAGCTCGAAGAAGCCTGGGCGGCAGCGGCAGGCCCGGTTGTGGACGACGGAGCAGGGCCGCGCCTCCTCCTCGTGCTCCCCGCAGACCACGTTGCAGTACCGGCAGCGCCCCAGGTAGTTCCAGAACTGCGTGTAGTGTTGCGGCGGGCACTGGCGGCACGTCGTGGGCTGGTCCCTGCTGCACGGCCGGTGCACGAAGGTGCCCGGGGGGCACTGGCCACACGTCAGCCACTCCCGCGTGGCCACATCCCACCACGGGTAGGTAGGCACGTCTTCCGCTGGCCCGCGCGCAGCCAGCAGCAGCAGCAGGAACGGTAGTGCCCTCGGCAGGATCAGGGGCAGCCTCGCCTGTGCTTTCATGATCCTCCCTGCAGCGGGACTCAGCGGGGACACCAGTTCGCCACAGCCGCACTCCTCCCAGCGGAAGCAGGCCCCGCCCACCCTACCTGCAGCCAACCAGAGCACTCCAGCTCTGGCCAGCGCCTCCTATAAAGGCTGGCCTCGCCACACCCCGGGGAGAGGCCGGTGACCTCCCGCAGGCCATGTTCTGACCCAGTTAAATTTGTTTTTTAAATATATTTTTATTGATTTCAGGGAGGGAGGGAGATAGAAGCATCAATGAGGAGAATCATTGATCAGCTGCCTCCTGCACACCTCTTACTGGGGATCAAGCCTGCAACCCGGCATGTGCCCTTTACTGGAATTGAACCCACGACCCTTCAGTTTGCAGGCCAACTCTATCCACTGAGCCAAACCAGCGAGGGCATGTTCTGACCCAGTCTGGGGCAGTCGCAGCACCCTCGCCTGGCCTGCCCAGTCCCCCTGCCACCCCCCCAGTGCAGGAGGCAGTCCTATGAAGGCCCTCCTATCACCAGGCACAGCTTGTGATCCAGTGACAAAGCCTTCCAGGGAGGTATAAGGTTCCTCTTCCCTCTGGTATTAGTGTCTTCCTGTCCAGCTGCAAGGATGGAGGCTGAGCCAAGTTTAGACAACGTGCTCACAGCACCCTCTCGTGGGATGGTGGGAGGGGGACCCCGTGCAGACGCCCCCATCCTTTCTCTCTGGCACCTCAAACCCCATCACCAAGCCCAGGCAATGCGAAGAGCATCCCCATATGCCAGCAGCTTTATTCAGCCCACCTCCAGGCACAGTCCCAGCATGCCAGGGAGCAGACCACCCGCTCCAGGTGCGGCCCAGCTGTGGACCCCTGAGCCCCCCACCCCCACAAGCCAGCAGCCCGGGAAAGTTCTGGGGAAGCACCTCGCCCACCCACCCCACAGTGGCTTCAGGGCTTCTCCCAGGTGGCCCGAGACCTGGCTGCGGTCTCAGGGGTGTCCCTTGTGCAGACCGGCCTCTGACTGGTAGGTTGCTGGTGCTGGGCCTGGCCCACCCTGAGCCAGCAGACAAGTGTCCATGCTGCATCCAGGGAGGGTGGCCTCAGCCTTGGAGGCCCTGCCGTGCCCAGGCGTCTCAGAAGAGTGGCCCGTGGCTCTGCTTCCTGGCGGAGGCACCTCAGGTCCAGTATGCAGTGTCCTCCTGGGGGTCTGGGAAGACACAGAGGACGCTGGCCACACCTGCCAGGCACCACTACCCACCCACCCCAGAGGGGTGGTGCCCGGCAGCCGTGTCCCCGAGGGCTGGTCAAGACCTGGGTGCTGCTGTTAGCAGGAGGGACATGGGGAAGGGATGGCTTCCTCTGCTGGCAGCCAGCACCCACGAGACCTACCCACTCAGGCTGTCTGTCCGTGGGGTCACGGGGATCCAGCCGTGGCCTGAGGAAGGAGGAGATCTTGCTCTGGGTCCTCCCTAGTCTCTCTGGCTCGGAGGGGCCTGGACACAGAGGAGTGAGTCTGAGGGGTGGCTGGTGCGCCTCTGCTGCCCGTGCCTCCCAAGGCTGCGGAGGCTCTGGGGTGACAGGGTGGGGGTGGCAAGAGCACCAGCAGGTCACCCTGGGGTGAGGATGGGAAACACCTCGGAGCTCCCTCCCTGGGGTCCCGGGGGCAGTGCCTGTGTCCGGGGTGGGCTGGCCGGTCAGGTCTGCACACGTCTGCCAGAAGCGCAGCTTATGGTGTGGGCGCACGAACATGCTGAACCCTGCGGGGAGGGGTGCTCAGGACCTGCCCCCATACCCTGAGTCTCCTCCCCCAGAGCCCCTCCAAGTCCCCTCCTCAGAAACTTGCTCTGCAGCAGCGGCAAGTCCTCGGGCCTCGAGGTGGTCAGTGCTGCCACCACAGCCACCACCTTCTCAAAGTCATCATCCCGCTTGTAGGTGGTCAGTGCTGCCAGGAGCTGACTGCAGCCTGCAGCCCCCAGGGCCCTGCGGGCGTCTGCCAGGTAGGTGCTCACAGCAGGCTGGCTCGGCTTCTCCGCTTGAGGGGCGCCACACCCCTCTTGTGGACAGAGGCCGGTGTCTCCTGAGAGGGAGGGAATACGGACTGTGTCGGGGCCCAGAGCTCCCAGGAGGCTCCTCCCCTCCAAGGTCTAGCTCTGCTCCTGGCTCTGGTCAGAAGCCTCTTCAGGGACCATGTACCTTCTGGTGGTGGCCTGGAGGCCAGGTGAGGCTGTCCCTGGTTCAGGTGCCCTCCAGTGTCCAGCTGCCTGGCCGCACTCTGGGACAGGGTCATCTTGGGGACAGGCTCCCTCCTTCCTGAAGGAGCATGGAGACACAGGAGTCATCCAGCTGGTCTCAAAGGGTCCGAGTGCTCCCTAGGGAGGAGGCAGGTCTGCCCAAGGGGAGGCTGGACTCACAACCCTCCTCGGACCTGACTTGCACAGCCCCGTGGACAGCTGGTTGCTCGGAGGGACATCCTGTGGCACCAACCCCACGGGGGAGTGACTCTGGGGCTGGAAAATCCCCTCCCCAGGGCAGTGTCCCTGAGGCAGTCCCACCCAGGGCAGGCTGGTCAGGGACAGGGACTGGCTCCCTCGCTCTGGAGGTACAGGGCCCACTCTGGGGGGAGGGACAAGGGGCTCCAGGACCCCGGTGCGGATAAGACGACAGCTGTACATGCTCTGGGGGCCGACATGGTGCCACCCTGCAGTGATCCATTGGCCCCTGAAGAAACAGTGAGGCTGGACCAAGCTAGAGCCTACCTCAGGACCCCAGGTGCCAGCCCCTGAGGGTCTGCCTGGGGAAGGCCCCACTCACCACCGGGGTCCGGGGCTGGCTGTGTCCACTGCCCACGCGGAAGGCTGTGCTCAGGCAGATGGCTACAGCCTCGGCCCGTCAGCTGGAGGCAGAGCTCCTCAAATCGCTGCTTGTGGTGGGGCCGCACGAACTGGTAGAAGCCTGTTGGAGGGGGTGTCTGGGTGCGAGGGTGCCACACGCTGCAGCCACCATCCAGACCTTTGCTAGGGAGCAGGGACCACCCTGCCCCGAATGACCCACCCGGCGTCCTCTGCCCCACCCCGTGACTGCGGCACCCCAGGCACCTTGGAGCAGGCTGTGCTTCTTGGGGTCTTGGGCAAAGAGGGGGCTGAGGTGGTCCACCAGAGCCTGGAAGTCGTCCGAGCCCTTGTACTCCTGCAGGGCCTGCGTAAAGGCGGCAAAGCTGGCCCGGCTCAGTGCCTGCTTCACGGCCACCATGAAGAGCTTGGCTCTGTCCGCCTGCGCACCTGCCGCCAGCCCCTCCTGCTGGACACAGCCAGGCGCCCATCAGACACACGTCACCCTTCAGACCCTTCACTGTTCCAGGTGTGGCTGGCAGGTGGCAGGGGTCCTGCTGAAGGCAGCCAGGAGGGGCTGCAGGGAAGCCACGCCTCTCAGGACCAGCACAGGTGGATCTGAGGCCCTGGGCTGCACCTCCAGCCCCACCTCCTGCCCCCACTGGGTTCCAGGATGGGGCATCCAGGGCCAGTAGAGCTGCAGCGGGCTCTCTCAGCTCAGAGGACACGCCTGGCACGGAGGTGGGAAGCTCACAGCAAGGGACACGTCTCAAACCCAGGGGCTGGCAGTGTCCTGCTCCATTCCCGCTGCGCCCTAGGCCCTGACATGGGGCCTAGATGGGAAGCGTGGAAGCCAGGCTTTCTGGTCTGCCAAGCTCAGCCCTCAGGGCAGGCCCCTGGCACCCAGCCCACTTCCTGACACCCCTGCCTGGTTTTTCCCAGAAGCAAGGGGAATGGACAAAGGCAGTGTGCGGGGCTTTCCGAGTTCCTTGGCCCAGACTGTCTACTCAGTTGCTCTCAACTGCCTTCATCTGAGGATGAGGACACAGACCCTCCCCATGTGTGGGCATATAGCCTCTACCTCCTGCCAGGGCCCAGCACCGCCCTGGTGAGCCAGCCTGGCTACAGGCCCGCCCCAGTGCAGCCTCCAGGGCCGGGCCTGACTCCCACCTGCTGGGGGCAGGGCCTTCTGTGGAAGGCGCCCACGTGTCTGAAAGGCCCAACCTGACCACAAATGTGCAGGACTCGGCGTGGGTCCCAGGACAGGGGCCCCTTGGCCAGCGTCAGGCCGTGCTGTTCTCGCACACTTTGTGCTCCCACCGTGAAAGGCTGAATGAGGAGAGGGGGCCTGTGCAGGCCTGGCCCCACGCCAACAAGCAACTGGGCCCCAGGAGCCTGGGCGGGGAGACCAGTCGGTACTGTCAGGACCAAGACGCAAATCTGCACCTCGCTGTGAACGTCCCAGCAAAGTGAAGGCGGGGCCAGGCAGGCACCGCAGCCACACTGCACACTCAGCTCCTGCACCCAACACCACTGCCCAGCCGAGCCCCCACCCCGAAGGGGCAGTGGAGTTAGAATGGCGCAGGCTTGGCCGGCTCACACCTCACACTCTGCTGGGTCAGGGCCACGGGCCGTGGACAAGAGCACTAAGAGCTGCAACAGCCTGTGGCTCCCACCACATCCCCAGGTGGGTCTGGGTAGCTCACCCACCTGGCAGCTGACCAGCCTGATCTTCTTCCTGCCTCCTCTCTGCTCCGCCACAGACCTCTTCTCACCCGGGAGGGATGTGCTGGAGCGGCACTGTGCCTGGGGGGTCACAGAGCTGTGGTCCCAACCCAGGCCCTCGGGCCCCAAAGCTCTGCGTGACACTTTGGGGCCACAGTGAGGTCAGCTGGGGGCAGAGCCCGAGAGCAGGTGCGGGCACGTGGTCTTGCAGTAACTGACAGGGCTAATGGGAAGGGAACAGGGGATGCCACCCAGCAGGACACAGGGACCTCCAGGTCACAGTGACGGACTTCTGGGCGAAAGCCGCTGGGCAGGAGCTGCCACGGCCAGGCTCCTGAAGGGCGCAGCAAGGCCGGGCCCCAGAGGACCATGTGGAAACCACAGGGGGCAGTGGAGCCCCAGCGAGGGGGTGCGGGGGAGCACCAGCCAGGAGCTTAGGTGTGGGCTGAAACCCCAACCACCTGCCCAACAAGGGGACTTATGGGGTGAGTGTGGAGGTGCCCGAGAACAGACAGGCAGTGCCTGGGGTCTGTGTCCATCTCTGGAGCCCCAGCACCCATACCTCCTCCTCCCCAGGCCCGGCCTGCTCCCCGGGCCTTCGGGCCAGCTGCTCGCTGTGCTCCAGGGCGGCCAGCAGCCCCACAGGCCTTCGCTGGGTGTGAACCGACTCCTGCTCGTACTCCACACACAGGCTGCCCTCGGTGTCCCCGCCATCCCCGGAGGCTGGCAGTCCTGGGGGAGGGCAGGAGTGATCAGGTCCCCGAAGCAGTCAGACCCACGTGCTCTGGTCTTCAGGCCTTGCCTGCCGCCAGCCTTGTGGGAGCAGCCCCCAGCCACGTCACCTGGCCACACGCACCTGGAGGCCTCCGCCTCAGGCTGGCGACGTGCAGGTCCACACTCTTGGCTTTCTTGGTGGAGAGGGCCCCGAGCGACACAGCCACTGGGACGGTGCCTTCTCCCGGGCCCGGGCTCGGGGTGGCAGCTAGGGGCGCCGGCATCTGGACAGTCACAGGTGGTTGGGGTTGGGGGTCCCACCCAACTCCTCCCCTGGGGAGGGCAAGGGGGCACAGCCAGCTGGGCATTCGGGACTCACTGTTTTCTGAGCCACCCGGAAGAACTGGGCCACATCTCGGATGACGTGGCCGAAGTGGTCATATACTTGGACGTGGGGGCGCACCCAGGATGGCAGCTGGGCTCTGGTATCCGCACTGGTGAATCTGGGAGGGAGGGGCCATCAGCCCAAGTCCCGCCCACTCCAGCTGGGGCCCCATGCGGTGAAAGGGCCACACCTGTGGTCACAGAGGAAGATGGCCCCATAGTCGTGGCGATGCCGGATGACCCTCCCGATGGCCTGGTTCACAGCCCTGGACGCCTGCTGCCGGTACCAGTCTTGCCCAGAAAGGAACTGGGGGAGGAGGAGGAGCTGGTCACAAGGTCTCCAGGCCACCAGGTCCCCGCCCACCACGTGGCACCTCACCTGGCCCGAGGCCCCACTCCGGGCCTTCATCTCATCTAGGAACTGCATCTTGAGGATGACCCGGGGGTCCTTGCGTGGGGGGTACGGGAGACCCGTGACAACCACCCCTCGGCCATTCACATCTGCGAAGTCCAGCCCCTCACTGGCCTGGGGAGAGCACAGTCTTTACCCACAAGCCCCACAGGAGCCTGCAGACCTTCCTCAGGGTCGGCCCCGACCCTCACCACCACAAGCTCCCAGGTGTGGACAGTTAGGGACAGACCTCCAACCCTGGGCCAGGCCCTGGCTGGGGTCCACACTCCCAGAACCCCACGACCACTTGTCTGTTCATGGAACCTCCTCCTCCTACCCGCCCGTGCCCACCCCAGCCGGCCCCAGCCAGGGTCAGGGGGCTGCCCACCAAACTCGTATTTGCTGGAAGTGGGGCCCAAGGGAAGGGACCGGCCTGTTCCACCCACAGCGCAGTCCCCAGGCCCATCACAAGCTCCTGTGGGTGAGGAAGACGGGCAGTGCACGTGGGACCAGACTCACCTTCCCCCGGCACACGGCCAGGAAGGCGGCCCCTCGGGATCCCGGGGAGGCGACAGCTGCGTAGTACGCGCCCATCACCTGAAGGAGAGACGGGTCACCCGGAGCAGGGCCCCGGCCCGGCACCTCGAGTGAGGCCCATGCACCCTCCTCTGGCAGCCGCTTCATGGCTGGGTTCCCAGGCTGACCTGCACCCAGCACCCAGGGCTGCTCAGTTTCCCAGAAAACACAGAGCCGGGCTGAGAGCCTTTCCTCCCAGGCACCTGCTGCCACCATTGCTGTGCCCTAGCTTTCCAGGAGGCAGCAGGCCAGGCCAGCAGGACCGCCCCACGGCCCTGGCCAGCCCGGGCGCCCACGGGGCAGTGAGGCCCCAGCGAACTCGCACCTCTGAGAAGCTGCCCTTGCTCCTCGGCTCCACAAACAAAGGCTTCAGGGCCTCGAGCCTCCTGGCACAGTCCCGGGCCTGAGGCAGGGGAGAAGGAGACAGCAGGCTCATGAGGCCTGGCAGCCACGGCCGCACCAGCCACGCTGGCCATGGGGCTCCCCTCCCACCCTGGGACACACGAAGGGAACGCACCCGCCAGAACGCCAGGCTCTTCTCCAGGACGGGGTAGGAGGGAAAGAAGACCAGGAGCCCGTGGGGGACCACGCGCGTGATGTTGACTGGAAGGGAGCGGCCACGGTCAGTGGGAAGGGCGTCCCGAGGCCCCGCCGGCTGCCCCCGGAAGAGAAAGCAGGGAAGGGTGCAGGGCTGGGCAGGGGCGAGGCGGGCTCCCCAGACACCATGGATGGGGTCCAGGATGGGACAGCCAGGCCAGGGCTTCCCGGGAACTCACCTAGCGTCTTCCCCAGAGAGGACAAGCACTCGTCAGAGAACCTGCATGAAGCCAGGAGGCTGCTGCCACGTGGGTCCCAGCACTGGGCCCACCCACTTGTCCTCCCTAGGCCAGGTCCCCCTACCGTTTGTCAAAGGCGGAGCTCAGCTGGGCTCCATCAGGGCCTCTGGGGACAATCCCCACCCAGATCTGGTGCTTGTCAATGACGTGCGGGTTCTCCAAGCAGACTGGGAAGGGGCTGGAGGCAGCGGTGGAAGGCAGGGATGTCCCCCGTGAAGTTCTGAACCCCCAACACCCAGGCTATCACCCCCCAGCCCAGGTAGTGGCAGCCTTACATCTGCATCTCCAGGGCGAAGGAGGACACCGGGGCCAGCGTGCCGCTGGTGAGGAGGAGCGTGCGCACGCCCTGGCGGACCAGCTCGCGCATGCAGCAGCCAGGGCTGAAGCACCAGTAACTGAGCACCTTTCCTGCAGGACGAACATGAGGCTGGGACTCAGTCACCCACAGGGAGGCCCATGACCGCCACCCACAAGTCTTCCATAGGCAGCCGCTGGGCGCATCCGAGTGTGACCGAGGGGCCTGCCCGGGGGCCTGGGGAACAGGAAGTTGAGCCAGAGAAGCTAGGACAGACAGTGGGTCACCTCCAGAGAGGCCGACCAACCCCAACCCCAGACATGGAGACACAGGCCACAGGCACCCCAGGAAGGAAGCGGAGCCCTACCTCCGACACCCGGGCCTCCAGGGACACAGATGCTGGGCTGCAGAGAGGAGGCAGCTCAGGCCTGGGAGGCAGGAGCAGCAGGGGTGCCACCCGCTCACAGGGAGTGGCAGGCCCTCGTCCTGGTCGCTGGGAAGGGGACCAGGCCCCACCCGCTTCCCCCGGGCAGACACGCCTGCCCCCACTCGCTGCTCCCCACGCTCAGGAAATGACTGCAAACAGGGCTCGAACGTCCAGACTAGGTCACAGGGCAGCGGGAACACTTCCAGAAAACAATGAGCCACTTTCTGGGGCCAGAGACCCTTTTCCACTTTCAGGATGGGATCTTCCCTGCGACGTGGACGGAGGACGAGGCGGCCTGGGCCAGCCCTGCGTGGACATCAAGGGGCCATGCACTAAACCCCGACAAGCTCAGGGAGGCTGCAGGGCAGCCCCACAAACTCGGAACCGGAAGTAACCACCGGGACGGTCTGAACATACAGATCCCAGGCTAACAGCGGGTCCCCCCTAGGCCTGCAGCTTCCTTGACAAAGGCCAGTCTTCCCCTTGACTAAGCCTGGTGTGGTCTGTTCGCATCTACCACCGACCTTGGGAACAGCAGCGTGATCTCCCTGGCAGGCCCCTCAGAGCAGAGTCCACAGAACCCCTCCTTGTCCCCTTGTCCCCCTCATACCATCTCTATGTGCAGTAAATTGTAACAATCCTGTACCCACCAATGTAAAACTATGTGTCTGTTTTTTTTATCCCCTCCCAGAGGCACCCCCACTTCGCTTCTCCCACCTCCCCACCCTACCACCGATGGATCTCATGGATGGAATAAGCTGCAGAACCGCCATTCTCCGGAGCATTTTCTCAATCCCTTCAGATTTTGCTTCCCGACAATTGTCAGTTTGGCTCAAACAAACTTATAAAAATTCTCTACAGGTTTGGATGTTTCCTACATCGCCATCTGCCACAGCAGAGACAGGTGCCCTAGGAGAGCGTGTGGGGCCCTGGAGCCGGGCCTTGGCCTGCACGCCTCTGTGCCCGGGCCTCCCCTCCACCCCCAGCTTCCAGGGAGGCTGGAGATGATCCAACTTCCTATAAACACCCACCCAGGAGTGGCTGCTTCTGAGAATCCTCTCGCTCTCAGAGGTACAGGAACACGGTCACTGCACCCACTCACCCTCCGCACCTACACCTGCCAGGGCTAAGGCCCAGCTGGCCTCCCGAGATCATGGTGCGAACTGATCCCGGCACGACCGCCCCACACTCCTAACCCTCTGTCCCTGCTCAGCTCCACTAGACAGCAGGTGGCAGCCGGAGGAGGGTGGAGGAGAGTAGAGGGGTGCTGAGAGCTGACCTGGAGCAGGGGGCAGTGGTGGGCTGCCAGCAGCACTGGGGACTGCCCAGGATGGGGGTGGCCTTGACCACAGCACCATCACATTACCCTGGAGCTGTTGGGCTACGAACCCCACCTAAGTCTAAGTCCCCAGGGGCAGTGGCTAGGACTGGGCACCTCAGGAGTCTGTGCCTGAGCCGACACAGGCCACCCCACACCAGGAGCCACGGTGTGCCTGCACAGACCTAGGACCCAGGGCAGCAGGGGAAGCTGATAGGAAGAGGGCAGGACTCACGACAGGCCTGAGCTCACAGAGGGTGTCAGGGAAACGGGGCCCGCCCCCGGGGGCCTGAGTGATATCGGCCAGCAGACCCCTCCGATGCAGCCGAGGCCTGTGGAGTGGCCTCAGCCTGAACCTGCCCCACATCTGTCCACCCGGCTGGACAGCGAAAGCGCAGCACACCGTCAGGGGCCGGTGACACGCTTCTCAGAACGTCCTGGGTGGCCCTGGCTGGTTTGGCTCAGGGGGTAGAGCGTCAGCCTGGGGACTGAAGGGTCCGGGTCTGATTCCGGTCAAGGGCACATGCTCAGGTTGCGGGCTCGATCCTCAGTAGGGGGCATGCAGGAGGCAGCCGATCCATTATTCTCTCTCATCATTGGTGTTTCTATTTCTCTCTCCCTCTCCCTTCCTCTCTGAAATCAACAAAAATGTTTTAAAAAAAGAAAGAAAACATCCCGGCTGGTGTGGGAGGCCTGGCGCAACTCAGGTGCCGCCCAGCCGCCTCGCAGGCCTCTCCCTGGGGTCGGGCAGGGGAGCGTGTCCGGTCCCCCAGGCGCCATACCTTGCCTTCTGGACGCCGTGGAGCTCCAAGCATCTGACCGATGAGCTGTCCCCCGGTGGCTGGTGTCAGGGTGGATGTGTACCTGGAGGGAAGAATGGACAGGTGTCCTGAGCCCCCCACCTGTGGCCCCCCTTCTGGAGGCGGCCCCCACCCCACAGGACAGAGACCCCTGCCCATCGCCCCTCATGGAGGCGGCCCCCATCCCATAGGACAGAGACCCCTGCCCATCGCCCCTTCTGGAGGCGGCCCCCATCCCATAGGACAGAGACCCCTGCCCATCGCCCCTTCTGGAGGCGGCCCCCATCCCATAGGACAGAGACCCCTGCCCATCGCCCCTCATGGAGGCGGCTCCCACCTTGTAGGACTGAGAGGCTTCGGGCCCCACTGGGGAGCTGCCCTCGGCAGGGTCTGTGCTGAACACCATCTGAAAGGAGATGAGGGCAAGTCAGCAGGACACACCACACAGGACAGACACACACGCAGGGTGTCATCATCGCCTGCCCCTGCCTTCCTGCCAACAGCACCTATGCCTGTCCCCTCCCCTCAGGCCCCCAGCTGGGAGATGCACAGGAGTTTCAGTCACACCAGCTTGAGTCCCCTGTGACCTCCCGTGGTGCCTGTCATGCTGTCTCCCCTTCTTCTCCACTCCCCACCCTTCATGACCCCTTCCCCCCGGAACAACCTCGAGTGGGCGTGCACGCAGCACTGTCCAGTGGCTGGGCCTGTCCTGCCTGATGCCCAGTGGGCCTGTGCATAGTGGCATACGTGCCTGGCAGCACCGGCATCCTGTCGACTGGTCCCACACGTGAGCAGGTCGCACACCATCTCGGGGCCCCACATCCTGCCTGCTCTGTCCCTTTGAAGCTGGCCTCGTTCAGTCTCCAGCCTGAACCAGCTTTAGACCCTCTACCCTGCACAAACCATGAGCTTCCGTGTTTCCCACAGGCTGTCCGTCTGATCAGCCCACTGCCCCACCGCGGGCGCCCCACCGCCCCACCATGGAACAGAGAGCACCCAGGGCTCCAGGGCCAGGCCAGCAGCACACCAGGACCCTATCCATACCCCCCAGCACAGCCCTGTTTGGAGGCCTGTGCCCCCGAATGGGATGAGCTGCTGCCCATCATATTCTCTCCGGCTGGAGGGGACAGGCCAGCACGCACACCAGGCCGGCAGGGGACTCCCCGTCACCCACCAGGGATCACTCAGAGCAGCTGCCGCAGGAAATTCCAAACTGGCTGAGCAGTTTGGGTTCGAGTCTGGAGGGCAGAGACCTGCTCCACCACCGGGCACCAAGGAGGGAGGGCTCCCACGCGCCACCGGCCCGGAGGGTCCTCGGAGAGGCCTCTCGCAGCGGGCCTGACCATGCCCGCCGGCCCCGCCGCCAGCAACTGAGGGAGAGCGGCAGCGGACGGAGGGCAGCGTGCTGCACTGGGGGCAGAAGTGGCGGTGCCGAGTGGCCTGAGGTGTGGCATCCCCACTGGGTCTGCAGAGGAGGGGGCTCACCGACCCCGGGTGGCTGCCCCACCGAGAGCAGCTTCCCGGGCCCTGGGTGAGGCCGGCCTGGCTGGGACGTGGGGACCACGCCGCTGACTGAGTTCAGCAGCCGCAGGCCCCGCCTGGGCTCACGGGCATCGCCTGAACACACTCGCCACAGAGCCGCATGGCTCTCCAGGGATGGCGGGCTCTGCAGCCAGACATGGGGCTGGGAGTAGAGCCTTCCCCCTGTGATGGGCTTACACTCAGACTTGCCCTGGAAAGCGGCTTCAGGAGAACGCCTGAGAAGGCTTTTGCCCACTGCCCCTGGTGCAGTGCGGTCCGAGGCAGGCGGTGCGCTCAGGCTGGATGGCAGCCTGAGGGCCGAGGCTCTGAGGCAGGAGGTGCGCAGGCCTGGCCCTGCCCCAGGTCGAGGCCGAGTGACAAGTGCAGGAGAGGGAAGCACCCCACTTCCATGGGGAAAGGAGCCGCCTGCATGGCGCCCCTGGTCCTACCTGGATGATGTCCGCGAGCTTCTGCAGTCCCGCCGTGTTGGTGAACAGCCCTGCGCCTGTGGGAGCAGCGGGCACTGACCACAAGGCTGCAGCCTCAGGAGCCAGGAGCCTCCTGGACATGTGCTAAGCTCCGCCTCACCCCAAATCCACAGGGGCCACCTGGGGAAGGGGCTTGCCTGCTCTTCCCCGTGTGTCTCCAGAGTATCAGTGAGGGGGAGCAAATGAAGTTGAGGCTGCCCAGTCACCCCCCACCCCCGCCCAAGAGGGAACAGAGCCTGGCGGGGCCCACAGCTCCGTGGCCCTGCTCTTCTGGAAAGCTGACTAGGAACAGCTGGCTGGTGCAAGGCCGGACCGAGCCCCACAGGGCACGGCACCATGCCCGCACGCCCCCTGTCCGTGGCACTCCCCGCGGCACAGGCAGCAGGAGGCGCGGGGCCGGGGGACTCACGTCCTGCCAGGTGCTGGATGATCTGGTCCAGGGACTCCAAGATGCAGCCCTTGGTCTGAAGTGTGATCTGGGCCTTGGCAAACAGCTCGAAGATGTAGCTGCCGGGGAGAGAGGTGACCAGCTGGGCTCTGGGAACCTAATGGCCAATGGCTTTTCAGAAACGAGCCCTGAGCCCTCTCGGAGGCACCTGGAGGGGACAGCCTCTGCGCCAGGAGTCCCCGGGCCCTGGCTCCAGGTGGAGGTCGTCAGGGCCCCCTGAGGCCGTGGCTCTCGCAGCTTTGGGGAGAGATGGGAGGGCAGCACCAGATCTGGGCGCCGTGGTGTGGGGCAGGGCAGGCAGGGGCTTGCTTCATCTGGGAGGCAACGGGGTGTCTGTGAGCATCTGAGCGCAGCAGAGCAGACGGCGGCTTGTGCTCTGGAATGTTCCTGACGAATCCAACCCTCGACAACCTGGCCTGGTCCCAGCGCAGTGTCAGCTGTGGACTGAGGGGGCTACCACCCGCCTCAGCCAGGACCCGGCACCTGCCTGCAGGAACCAACTCCACTGCCCAGCTTCAGGGCGGCCTAGACGTCTGGGGCTGTCAGAATAGCCTGGGCCCTCTGAGGCCTAAGGAAGTGGCTGGTGTGACTGCACTTTCCGTCTTAGCAGAAGGTGTGCTTGGGCTGGCGTCTGAGCACCAGAGGACGGGACACAGAGGAGACCAGTGCACATCCGGGTGAGTCAGCAGCCCTCCTGGGCCTCCAGACCTGGGAGGGACCCCACTGGGCAGCCAGGAGCCCCACACACGTCCGGCTCCAGCTGCAGGCAGGGCCTGGGGTCAAGGGCCAGCTCCCAGTCCCTCACCTCCCTGGCTTGGTGACACCTCCGTCACCTCCGGGCAGCTCCACGGCATCGATGGCACCCTCCAGGCGAAGCAGGATCACTGCGGAGCACAGGTGGTCAGGGCAGCACCAGCCAGTGGGGGTGGGGGGATTGGGGGGGGGGGAACAGCACTTACTCTTCAGCTTCGCAATGTCCTCCAGCTCCATGGTCAGCCCTGGGAGAGAAAGGGGAAAACCCACAAGTGTGCGTCACCCACTGCAGGGAGGGAGCCCCGCAGGGAGAACGCTGCCTCACAGCGGAGCCAGAGCTGGAGCCGCGAGCGCTGGGCGCCTTGCCTGGGGCAGTGACCGAGGTCCCACGCACCATCGCCCACTGAGAGCACCCAGGGCTCCCGGGAAGCATGGCTGAGGCTGGGACAGGAAAAGCAGGGAGGAGGTGTGACCCCCTCTACAACTACGGGGACCAAAAGGACAGAGGTGCCCGCATGACAGCAGCAGGAGATGGGACACCTGAGTTCAATAATGACGAAACTGTCGCCTGTGACTCCATACATGTGCCCATGGGGCAGTGACTATTCCCCTCCTGCTGACAAGGGACCAACAATAAGCTGGGAACAAATTCAAACGCCCAGATTGGAAAACTGGAAAGGCGAAGGGAAAAGCAAGCACTTGTTCTGCCTTTCCCGTAAGAGCAGCCTCACCACCGAGCAAGTGAGGCACCGAGCACCCTGAGGGGCTCGTTCCTGCTGATAAATCAAACAGCCCACAGGCGCATCCTATGGAAGGGGTGGATCTGGGACCAGGCGTCACAATGGTACTGGCCGAGCGAGCCCAGGACCGTGCACCTCCGGCCTGCCCTCCAGCCCAGCACCAGGGGCAGCAGGGCCCAAGGGACCACAAGGAGCCAGAGCCAGAGCCAGCGGGCCTGTTGGCGCCCGGAGCTCAGACCTCGGCCTCCAGGTGTAGCCCAGCGGCCACACCAGTTCATGTGTCCACCAGGACGGCGGACAGGTCTGACCGTCCCGCCTGCTCGCAGCAGTCACTGTCCTCCGTTCTGACAACAGCCACCCACCTTGCTGATGAAGAGTGATGTGTCTTTTTTTTTTTTTAATCAGAAGAGAAAGTTTATTTAGAAAGTGACAGAAGTGGAAGTGAGCCTCTGGGCTGTGCAGGCTCAGGAAACAAATCACAGAAGCAAGAGAAGGGCCCTGGGGTGACAGAAAGGCAAAGGCAGGCGCCTAGGGTGAGGACGGGAGGGGGCTCCTGAGGGAGAGCCCCCCGTGGCTGCGTCCGCTTGGACAGCGCCCTTGCAGGAGAGTCCATCACGCCTCTGCCCTTCTGTCTCTCAGCTTCAGAGTCGCTGGCACATTTTAGATGCAAATCCCTCGTCAGTTATGGTTGACAGGTTTCTCCCACTCTGTGGGCTGTCTCTCCGCTTCCGGGACCGTGTCCTCCGAAGCCCAATCTATCTACCGTTTGGTGACTGTGCTGCTGGCGTCAATTCTAGGAATCCATGCCTCAGGCAAGGTCATGGAGACGGCCCGGGGGGCCACAAGGAAGGGAAAAGGGGCACCTCGTGGTGAACTCCCCTGGGCAGGCAGGCGGGCGGGAGCCCCGTGTGGAAGTCAGAGCCGAGTGTGGAATGGGCTGGACGTGACGAAGGGCACTTCACATCTGTGCCCTTCCTCCTGACGCCGGAGCCCAGGGACTGAGAGAAACCACACAGTCCCCACTCAGGGACACGCTCCCTGACCACGCTGCTCAGGCCTCGAGGTCTCAAGAACAGGGAGGCCTGAGACCCATCGGGGAGAGCAGCTGCGGGAGGGCGAGGCGTGTCGCGCACACAGGCAGGGACACGAGGGCGAACCACGGACTTCGCCCACCCACACCTCGTAGGATGCTGTTGCCAAAAAAATGAAGGCCATCAACAACTGCCAAGATGCTCAATTGCACTCCTCAGAGAAAAGCAGCTCGGAACTGCAGAGACACCCCATCCATCGCTGTGGCCCAACCTCAAAGGCCTGCCGTCCGCCAGGGGACGGGCGGACACCGTGCCCGCTGCTGCTCTATCCACAGCACACACCACCCGCTAGCCCGGCCGCCCACTTCTGGGAATTCACCCTGAAGAAGTACCGCAAACAAGAGGAAAGTGCGCACACACGAGGTTACTCATTACTGCGCTGTTTGTCATTGCAAAGTCCGGGAACCAGCTCAGCCCGAGGACACGCTGGGCAGATGCAGAATGCCCGCGGGGGGGGGGGGGGCGGCAGCGGAGCGAGAGCAGGGCGCCTGCCCGTGAGGCGCTCGCAGCACTCGAGGGCGTGCACGGGGCACAGCGCCCACCGGACGCCGTGCAGGAAAGAGCCGCGTGGAGGTCGGACGCCTCTCCTTTGGCTCTCGCTCGGCTCCCTCTGAACATGCCTGACAAGCCCGACATGGCTGAGATTGAGAAATTTGATAAGTTGAAATGGAAGAAGACAGAAACGCAAGAGAAAAATCCACTGCCTTCAAAAGAAATGAAAACAGGGAAAGCAAGCAGGCGAATCGTAATGAGGCGCACACGGCCCATGTGGGCTGCACATTCCCAGAGCATTGCCTTATCTTACTTCTTCCAGCTGTTCAACTTCGTAAGATGCAAAGAGGTTGGACCAGTTTAAGTGACTGTGCTGCCCCTTACACATCACAACTACTGACAATGAAGCCACCCTGCTGGCCCTCTGCCAGCTGGCTGGCAGGGAGGGGGGAACTTGCACGCTGCTGAAGGCAGGAGCTGGGTGGGACAACGGTGAATCTAGAGTAAACCCAGCTGGTCTAAGGGGTCCTGTGGGCTGTAAAATGCAGTGTTATCAGAGTGCCATTTTTTTGTTAAAATGATTTTAATTATTGGAATGCACAATTTTTTAAATATGCAAATAAAAAGTTTTAAAGCCTGAAAAAAAAAGAACAGAGTGGAAAAAGGAGAGAGAACAAGTAAAATGTACCCATAAAGGCAAAGAAAGAATAAGCTAGAAACTAACAAGACACTGCTCTTGAGTATACTATTACTTTGATATCTGGAACCATGCGAATGTTTCAAATACTATGAAAAAAGCTGGTGTGGCTCAGTGGTTGAGCGTCAACCCATGGCTCGATTCCGGTCAGGGCACATGCCTGGGCTGCGGGCTCGATCCCCAGTAGGGGGCATGCAGGAGGCAGCCGATCAATGATTCTCTCTCATCATTGATGTTTCTCTCTCTCCCTCTCCCTTCCTCTCTGGAATCAATACAAATACATTAAAAAATAAAAATAAAATAAAAATCAATGGGAAAATGTCCTCACAAGAGGACTAACAAAAAAAAAGAAATACGAACAGAAACAAATTATGTCAATTGCATACTGTAACCCAGTGAGGGAGGGAGGCGGCCCGAGCAGCCCTGAGGCTGCATGCCCGCACACTCCAGCTTCGCTCTGGGAAGCACGGCCAACGCGCAGCCCGGGAGTGGGGTGTGTTTCTTCCGGTGGCACAGTGATTCTGAAACAACTGACTGGGTAGTCGAGGCTCAAACGAGTGAGTAAAATGTTGAGGAACACGGCAGCGGGTTTTCTCACTCAGCACGGGCAGGCGCCCAGGGGAAGTGCAGGCCCGGGACAGAGGAGGCCCCGCACACGGAACACGCAGGCAGGAGCACCGTGAGCACCTGGTCCCGTGGGGACACACAGAAGCAGGAGATCTTGCATGAGTATTCCAGCCAGGGAATGGGAGGCGCCAGGTGATGCAGGCGTAAACACTGCAGGATCATTCATTCAGGGAGAACCGTCAATGGAGGCCACAAATCGCTTAAGGATTACAAACAGGAAAACAGTGACTTCACAGGAGAAAGCCTGGCTGTCACCACTTCACCTAGGAAAAAGTCAGTGTCACTGTGAGACTGACAGATGTTGGATGTGCGACCTGATGGCTGACCCCTGCCCGAAGTTCACAACTGGGAGCTGTGAGGACCAGCAGACAAACCCAGCCTGCAGGACATGCACCACTCACTGTAACTGACGTTCTCTTCACGGACTCCAGGGAAAGGCTGTCCAGCCTACAGCCAGAGCCACAGGCCCAGGCAGGGCCCAGCTCCCGCACAGACCAGCCGGCCCGGTCATGCTTCAGGCTACAGTGACAGCCGAAAGTCTCCTTTGGTCTGTCCGTGAGACAAGACTGCAGTATCTGCACTGATTTCCTGAGCAGGTCACCGCACTGCGGCCACAGGAGCACCCTGGTCTCAGGAGGCACCTGCACCTGCACTGCCCACATGACAGGGAGGCTCGTCCAAGGGGGCAAACCTTAGCAAGGGGGAGTCTAGGTGACGGGCAAGAGGTTCTTTACCAGCAAGTTATCTGCAAATTTGACATGATTTCAAAATAAAAGTTACATGCAACAAAGGTGAGCACTTCAGAGCAAGACAAAGACATGAAACAACACAACTCAGGTTTAAAAGCTCAGAAATGAAGTGACGGACTCACATGGAATGAGAAGGAAAGTAAAGAATCATTTTGGAAATGAGGATTGAATGAGAAGGAACACAGAAGCAGAAACAGGCCACAATCAGGGCCTTAGAAATTGCAGGCAGAATAAGGAACTCATACAACTCAACCAAAGGAAGTCAAACAATACAATTAAAAATGGGCAAAGGACCTAAATAAACACTTCTCCAAAGTGGGTATACAGATGGCCAAGAGACATGAAAAAATGCTCAAAGTCACTGATCATTCGAGAGATGCAAATTAAAATGACAATGAGGTACCACTCACACCTGTCAGAATGGTTACCATCAACAAATCAACAAATGACAAGTGCTGGCTTGGCTGTGGAGAAAAGCAAACCCTAGTACATTGCTGGTGGGAATGCAGACTGGTGCAGCCATTATGGAAAACAGCATGGAGTTTCCTCAAGAAATTAAATATGGATCTGCCATTTGACTCAGTGATCCCACTTCTAGGGGTATCTCTAATAATAAAAGCGTAATATGCTAAATTAGACCAGACAGCCGAATGACCTTCCAGATGAAACCAGGGCTGCGAGGGCCGAGCCCCTTGCATGAATTTCGTGCATCGGGCCTCTAGTATCCTAAGAAACCCGAAGCACCAATCAGAAAGGATGTATGCACCCCTATGTTCATAGCAGCACAATTTACAATAGCTAAGATCTGGAAACAGCCCAAGTGCCCATCAGTAGACGAGTGGATAAAAAACCTGTGGTACATTTACACCACGGAATACTATGCAGCAGTAAAGAGAAGGATCTCTTACCCTTTGAGGCAGCATGGAGGGACCTGAGAGTATCATGCTGAGTGAAATAAGTCAGTCAGGGAAAGACAAGTATCACAGGATCTCACTCATATGTGGAATCTAAGTAACAAAATAAGCTGATGAACACAGAGGATCCAGAGACATGGAAGCATGGAACAGAGTGTGGAATCTCAGAGGGAAGGTGGGGAGGGTGGGTGGGTAGGAGGTAATCCCCAAAGACCTTGTATGAAAATATGCATAACCCATGGGCACGGACAATAGGGTGCTGAAAACCTGGGGCGGGGGGTGGTGGCTGGAGGGGCTCAATGGGGGAAAAGGGGGACATATTTTAATACTTTCAACAATAAAGATTTAAAAAAAGAAAAAAAGAAACTGCAGGTGGATATAAACGTTGTTATCTCCCTGTCGCACACCTGGAACTCAATCAAAGAAAAAGAAGTCAAAGAAGCCAGAGACAGGAGGACTGGAGAGGGGAGCTGACTCCGGCGAAGCGCAGACGCAGGGAAACAGCCCAAACACACAGCTTCGGGACATGCTGAGAAAGCACGTCACATACAGGACAACACTGATCAGAAGAATCCAACCGAGACAACAGAACCGCTGGGCTTGAAAGATAAAATCCTAAAAGGACTCATGGCTTCTGAAATAAACTGCATTTTAAAATTAGCCAGGTTGAAGTCATCCTAGGTAGCCTGCTTCTGGACAAGTGCCTGGGAGCCCACACATTCCTCAGACGCGGGTCCAGGTGCTGCCTGTGGCTGGCTGAGGAAACCGGAAGCAGGAAGGGCGGGTCACGAGGCATGGCTGGGGCAGGCCTGAGCCCTGTTCAGGACACTGCAAGGCCAAAGCTATTTTCCTGATGATAATGCGAGTAAGTGACAATCACACTATCCTATTTGCCTTTTTATCTCTTGTTATTTCATAAATATACATACAGTGCAATTTCCAGAGGCTGCATGTGGGAGGCGGATAATGACCCCCAACACGTCCAGACCCTGATCCCCGGAACCTGTAAGCATGTCACCTTTCATGCCAAAAGGGCCTTCACAGGTGGAATGATGTTAAAGGACCTGAGATGGGAGATCATGCTGGGCCTTCAGGTAGGAGGGAGGCAGAGGTTCAGAGGAGAGGGGACAACAGAGCAGAGGTCAGAGGGCTGTGGGGCCCAGGGCTAAGGATGCAGCACTTCTACAAGCTGGGAAAGGCCAGAAACGGGGTCCCCCAGAGCCCCAGAAGGAAGGCGGCCCTGCCAGCCTGTTTGGGACCTGTGAGAACCACGGGAGAATCAGGCTGTGTTGCTTTAAGTCACTGAGTCTGTAGTGACTGTCACAGCAGCAGCCGTGACCAGGACCCAGCTCGAAAGGGCTGCCACAGCAAATCCAAAGCACAGCGTGAGGTGCACCTTTCTTCCCTCGTGAGAGATCAGCCAAACTGTGAGACACTGTCACTCTTCTAATTTTTAAAAAGTATTTTTCGCCTACCCGGTGTGGCTCAGTGACTGAGGGTCGACTTATGAACCCAGAGGCAGTGGTTCAATTCAGGTTGTGGGCTCGATCCCCAATGTGGGGTGTGCAGGAGGCGGATAATCAATGGTTCTCTCTCATCACTGATGTTTCTATCTCCCTCTCCCTCTCCCTTCCTCTCTGAAATTCCAAAAAAAAAAAAGTCTGAGCCTCAGGCCTCAGTCTGAGTCTCTCTCTCTTTTTTAAAAAAAATATATTTTATTGATTTTTTACAGAGAGGAAGGGAGAGGGATAGAGAGTTAGAAACATCGATGAGAGAGAAACATCAATCAGCTGCTTCCCGCACATCCCCCACTGGGGATGTGCTCGCAACCCAGGTACATGCCCTTGACTGGAATCGAACCCGGGACTCTTCAGTCCACAGGCTGACGCTCTATCCACTGAGCCAAACCAGTCAGGGCCAGTCTGACTCTCTTACCAAGATTTAAAAATTAAATAAAATTTTTTTTTTTAAAGTTTCCATTTTCATTGCTCACACAGTACCCAGAGACATAACTCACATAAACCACCTTTAGCCAGATTTAACGTAAAGGGTCCTGAAGCCACAAAGATTGAGAACTCCAGCGCTAAACAAACAAATGCCATTTACAAACTCTCCATCTCCCAGGGCAGGTGTGTGTGGGTCGGGGAGGCCGGGGACGCGCCAGGAGGGCAGTCAGTGTGGGTGAGAGGTGAGGGGCCACCTGGCCTGCTCCCTGTGCAGCCCGTCCACGTGTGTGATCACAGAGGGACGAGGACACGAGGCCGTCCACACCACCTGGGCCCCACGCCCACGTGAGGACACAGAACACCTGATCACGTCCACAGCATGAAGCATGAATGCTAAAAAGCCGGGAGCAACTGCTAGAAACACCACCACAAAGTAGGCTGGCCTCACAAACCTGGAGTCCTCGTTAGCCACTAACAAAGGCCACGGAGAACTTGTGGACACACTATCACATCCATCAAAGGTTTCTCCATAAACCAAGATTACTGCTGCCCGGGGAAAACCCTGGGAACAAACCTAGGAGTAGGTGGCACGTGGACCATGCTCGCAGATCATTAAAAACGTCTCCATGGCCCTAGCTGGTTTGGTTCAGTGGATAGAGCGTCGGCCTGCAGACCTAAGATCCCCAGGTTCGATTCCGGTCAATGGCATGTACCTTGGTTGCAAGCCCAAACACCAATCCTGGTTGGGGCGCATGCGGGAGGCAACCAATCCACATGTCTCTCTCAGATCGATGTTTCTCTCACTCTCTCTCTCCTTCCCTTCCACTCTCTCTAATAATCAACAGAAAAATATCCTTGGGTGAGGATTAACAAAAAACCACGTCTCCACGGTTAATACATTTGTTTTCACTTTTACACAGCACACGGGCTGGGAAAGGATGCAAGGTCTTCAAAAAATGCCAGAAGGGTTGGGCAGAACCCTGTGAGGCCCTGGGAAGTCTCTGGAAGTGTCCCCAGATGCCAACGTGCAAAGGCCCTGGGAAGACAGCCACTGGGGTAGACCTCACCCGTCCTCGGTGTCCTGCCTATAAGCTCACCTGAGTTGGCGTCTGCGCTGAACTCCAGGCGGAGCTCCCCCTGCTGCGCTGCCCTACTCTGTTCCTCCAGGACCTGGTCAATGACGTCCAATCCAGAGGCCACATCGTGGGGCGTCAGATCAAAGGACGCCGACTCCTCGCACATCTTCTCCTGAGAGGCCAAGCACGCAGTGTGACATGAGCAGGAGCTGGGCCTGGGGAGCTCCAGGAGGCAGGGCCTGGGGGTGCAGCGCTAAGGAGAGTGGGGAGCCCAGCCCTACCCACAGGCTCTGAAACTAGGTCACAAACATCCCACGATAGCAGCCTAGCCCAGCCAGCAGCCTACCCACTCAGCAGCCTACCCACTCAGCAGCCTACCCACTCAGCAGTCTAACCCACTCAGCAGCCTACCCACGCAGCAGTCTAACCCACTCAGCAGTCTACCCACTCGGCAGCCTACCCACTCAGCAGTCTAACCCACTCAGCAGCCTACCCACTCAGCAGTCTAACCCACTCAGCAGTCTACCCACTCAGCAGCCTACCCACTCAGCAGCCTACCCACTCAGCAGTCTAACCCACTCAGCAGCCTACCCACTCAGCAGTCTACCCACTCAGCAGTCTACCCACTCAGCAGTCTAACCCACTCAGCTGCCTACCCACTCAGCAGTCTACCCACTCAGCAGCCTACCCACTCAGCAGTCTACCCACTCAGCAGTCTAACCCACTCAGCAGCCTACCCACTCAGCAGACTACCCACTCAGCAGACTACCCACTCAGCAGTCTAACCCACTCAGCAACCTACCCACTCAGCAGTCTACCCACTCAGCAGCCTACCCACTAAGCAGTCTAACCCACTCAGCAGCCTACCCACTCAGCAGTCTACCCACTCAGCAGTCTACCAACTCAGCAGTCTAACCCACTCAGCAGCCTACCCACTCAGCAGTCTACCAACTCAGCAGTCTAACCCACTCAGCAGCCTACCCACTCAGCAGTCTACCAACTCAGCAGCCTACCCACTCAGCAGTCTACCCACTCAGCAGCCTAACCCACTCAGCAGCCTAACCCATTCAGCAGTCTACCCACTCAGCAGTCTACCCACTCAGCAGCCTAACCCACTCAGCAGTCTACCCACTCAGCAGCCTACTCACTCAGCAGCCTACCCACTCAGCAGTCTAACCCACTCAGCAGCCTACCCACTCAGCAGCCTACCAACTCAGCAGCCTAACCCACTCAGCAGCCTACCCACTCAGCAGCCTACCCACTCAGCAGCCTACCCACTCAGCAGTCTACCAACTCAGCAGCCTACCCACTCAGCAGTCTACCCACTCAGCAGCCTAACCCACTCAGCAGCCTAACCCATTCAGCAGTCTACCAACTCAGCAGCCTGCCCACTCAGCAGTCTACCCACTCAGCAGTCTACCCACTCAGCAGCCTACCCACTCAGCAGTCTACCAACTCAGCAGCCTGCCCACTCAGCAGTCTACCCACTCAGCAGTCTACCCACTCAGCAGCCTACCCACTCAGCAGTCTAACCCACTCAGCAGTCTACCCACTCAGCAGTCTACCCACTTAGCAGCCTACCCACTCAGCAGCCTACCCACTCAGCAGCCTAACCCACTCAGCAGCCTACCCACTCAGCAGCCTAACCCACTCAGCAGTCTACCCACTCAGCAGCCTACCCACTCAGCAGCCTAACCCACTCAGCAGCCTAACCCACTCAGCAGCCTACCCACTCAGCAGCCGAGCCCAGACCAGTGTTTGAAGCTACTTCGAGCAGCCAACACTTCATAAATGGAAATTTTTCCCCATTAAAATCTAGATTTCTGGCTGCTCTCAAAGTCAGATCTGGTCCATAGGCAGGAAGTGCCTGGAGCTGAGTGGGGCTGAGGGCTGCCACCCACACTGGACACCGAGCCGTCGTGGAGCCGCCCCCACTCCAGAGCATGAACACGGCTGCCTGGCAGCCTCCCGGGCCTGGTCAAGGCCACTGCTCCTGGGAACACAGGCCCTGGCAGAGGCCACATGCTGACTGGGGGCGCAGGCAACAGGCCTGCTTGGTCCTGACATTCAGGGCCACAGGGCTGGGACACAAAGGTCTGTACTGCTCTCTGCGGGGAAGAGGCGGAGGGAGGGAGGGAGGGCGTGGGGAAGGCCACCAGCACTCACCACATTGTGAGCTTCATCGAAGATCACCACCGTCCCCTTCAGGTCGATGCCATGTGCCCGGCGACTCTGCGGGCGGGAGAGGACGCAGGGCTGCAGCGGAGCGGTGCGGCCACTGCCCCTCAGGGTCCTGGAGGCCAGGAGCAGAGGCTCAGGGCGCACAGCCCTGGCGGGCCTCAGTCCCATACCACCCGGGACACACGGCAGGCCCTCTGATACCTGCTGCTGGGTGGCGGCGAGTTGTAGCCACTGGGCACTGCCCACCACCACTGAGCTGGACATCAGGTGTGTGTCCTAGTGACACGTAGCACAAGGGAGCAGGCCGTGACCCTTTGCCACAGCAGGCTAAGCAGCCACAGAATGGAGACCACCCAGCACCTGCCACGGGGTGCACTGGTGGAGGTGTTTACACCCCAGGTGGGGGGGAAAGTCACCTGCAGAGGGGTCTGGCATCCGTACTTCTTTTCAGCTTAATCTTAATTCTCATAAAATAAAGTGCCCATTTTAAGTGTGCCATCAAGAGGTGACATCCCTGCCGTATGACCCCTCTTCCTATGAGCAGGGACCAGGACTGTGGGGTCAGGCAGGGGGCTCCTGTGTGGGCGTGCTCTCCCAAGCCCACGCATGTGGCTGCGTGGAGCGCAGGTCAGCCTTCTGATTGCTTGTAGCTGTTCTTGGGACACCAGCTGTTAATGGACAGGGCTGTCCCTGGCTTTGGTGAGCGTTAAACTTGCCGACACCAATTTTAGGTCTTCTGACTCAGCCATTTCGGTGGGAACGCAGGGCCACCTGCCTGTGGTCTTCGTGTGCAACGCCTGAACATTTTCTCTTTTTATAATTCTTTATTGTTGACCGTCTCCAGCCCGCCCCGCCCCAGCATTCCCCACCCTATTGTCCCTGCCCATTGGTTATGCATATTTGCACACAAGGTCTTTGACTGGCTACCTCCCACCCACCCACCCTCCCCACCTTCCCTCTGAGATCTGCACTGTTCCACGCTTCCATGTCTCTGATCACTCCGTTCATCAGCTTATTTTGTTAGATTCCACGTATCAGTGCAATCATGTGATACTTTTCTTTCTCTGACTTATTTCACTCAGCATGATACTCTCCAGGCCCCTCCATGCTGTCTCAAAGGGTAAGAGATTCTTCATTTTTACTGCTGCATAGTGTTCCATGCTGTAAATGTACCACAGCTTTTTTATTAACTCGTCTACTGATGGGCACTTGGGCTGTTTCCAGATCTTAGCTACTGTAAATTGTGCTATGAACATATGATTCTTTCTGATTGGTGTTTCAGGTTTCTTAGGATATATTCCTAGAAGTGGGATCACTGGGTCAAATGGCAGTTCCATATTTTTTGAGGAAACTCCATACTGTTTTCCATAGTGGCTGCACCAGTCTGCATTCCCACCAGCAGTGTAAGAGGGTTCCCTTTTCTCCACATCCTCACCAGCACTTGTCATTTATTGATGGTAGCTATTCTGACAGGTGTGAGGTGATACCTCATTGTTGTTTGATTTGCATCTCTCGGATGATCAGTGACTTTGAGCATTTTTTCATATGTCTCTAGGCCAACTGTATGTCCTCTTTGGAGAAGTGTCTATTTAGGTCCCTTGCCCATTTTTTAATTGGGATGTTTGTCTTCCTTTTGTTAAATTATATGAGTTCCTTATATTTTTTGATATTAGCCCTTTGTCAGATGTATCTTTGCCAAATATGTTCTCCCACACAGCAAGCTCCCTTTTCGTTTTGTTGGTTTCCTTTGCTGGGCAGAAGCTTTTATTTTGATGTGGGCCCATTTGTTTATGTTCTACTTAGTTTCCTTTGCCCTGGGAGATGTATCTGTAAACATATTGCTACGAGAGATGTCTGAGATTTTGTTGCCTATGGTTTCTTCTAGTCCTTTATCCATTTTGAGTTTATTCTTGTGTATGGTGTAAGTTGGTGGTCTGGTTTCTTTTGCATGTATCTGTCCAATGTTCCCAGCACCATTTATTGAAGAGACTCTCTTGTATGCTCTTACCTCCTTTGTCAAATACTAATTGAGCGCAATGGCTTGGGTTGATTTCTGGGGTCTTTGCTGTGTTCCACTGATCTGTATGCCTGTTCTTGTGCCAGTACCAGACTGTTTTGATGACAGTGGCTTTGTAGTATGACTTGAAATCTGGTATTGTGACTTCTCTGGTATTGTGTTCTTCTTTCTCAACATTGTGCAGCTATTCGGGGTCTGTTTTGGTTCCATATAAATTTTTGGAGTATTTGTCCTAGCTCTGTGAAATATGCTGTTGGTATTTTAATAGGGATTGTGCTAAATCTATAGATTGCCTTGGGTAGTATGGACATTTTAATGATGTTGATTCTACCAATCCATGAACATGATATGTTCTTCTACTTGTTTATATCTTCTTCTATCTCTTTTTTCAACATACTGTAATTTTCCAAATACAGGTCTTTTGTTACTTGGTTAAGTTTATTCCTAAGTATTTTAATTTTTTTGTTGTAATGATAAATAGAATTGCTTTAGTTTCTCTTTCTGAGAATTCATTACTGGTGTATAAAAAAGCCATTGATTTTGAGGGGATGATTTTGTATCCTGCTACACTGCCAAATTCATTTATTAAATCTAGTAGTTCTTTGATGGAGTCTTTAGGGTTTTCTATGTACAATATCATGTCATCTGCAAATAATGAGTTTTACTTCCTCCTTTCCGATTTGGATGCCTTTTATTTCTTCTTCTTGTCTGATTGCTGTGGCTAGGACTTCCAGTACTATGTTGAATAGGAGTGATGAAAGTGGACATCCCTGCCTTTTTCCTATTCTTTGGGGAAATAGTTTTAGTTTTAGCCCATTGAGTTCACTGTAGGTTTGTCATATATGGCCTTTATCATGTTGAGATATGCTCCCTCTATTTCCACTTTGCTGAGAGTGTTTATAAAAAGTGGGTTTTGGATTTTGTTGAATGCTTTTTCTGCATCTATTATATGATTTTTGTCTTTCAATTTATGCGATGTATCACATTTATTGATTTACAAATATCATACCAGCCTTGCAACCCTGGAATAAATCCCACTTGGTCATGGTATATGATCTTTTTAATATATTGCTGGATCTGATTAGCTAATATTTTGTTGAGGATTTTAGCATCTATGTTCATCAGGGATACTGGCTTGTAATTCTCTCTTTCTTTTGTAGTATCTTTATCTGATTTTTGGAATTAGGATGATGCTGGCCTCATAAAAAGAGCTTGGAAGTGTTCCTTCTTCTTGCAATTTTGGAATAGTTTGTGGAAGATAGGTGTTAGTTCTTCTTTGAGTGTTTGGTAAAACTCTCCTGCGAAGCCATCTGGATCCAGGCTTTTATTTGCTGGGAGTTTTTTTCATTACTGCTTCTATTTCCTCAGTTGTTATTGGCCTATTCAGGTTTTCTGATTCTTCCTGATTCAGTTTTGGGAGATTGTATTTTTCTAAGAATCTGTATATTTCATCCACATTGTCCACTTGTTGGCATATAGTTTTTCATAGACTTTTCTTACAATCCTTTGTATTTCTGTGGTGACGGTGGTTACTTCTCTGCTTTTGTTTCTGATTTTATTTATGTTTCTTGATGAGTCTGGCAACTGGTTCATCAATCTTGTTTATCCTTTCAAAGAACCAGCTCTTGGTTTCATTTCTTTCTTTCTTTCTTTTTTTAAATATATATTTTATTGATTTTTTACAGAGAGGAAGAGAGAGGGATAGAGAGTTAGAAATATCGATGAGAGAGAAACATCGATCAGCTGCCTCCTGCACACTCCCTACTGAGGATGTGCCTGAAACCAAGGTACATGCCCTTGACCGAAATTGAACCTGGAACCCTTGAGTCTGCAGGCCAATGCTCTATCCACTGAGCCAAACCGGTTAGGTCTCTTTCTTTCTTTTTTAAGTCTTTATGTTATTTATTTCTGCTCTAATCTTCTACTTACTCTGGGATTTTCTTGTTTTTCTTGTTCTAGTTCTTTAAGTTGTAAGATTAGTTTATTGCTGATATTTCTTGTTTTTTGAGGTAGGCCTGTAGTGCTATGAACTTCGCTGACAGGACTGCTTTTGCTGTGTCCCAGAGATTTGAGGTTGTTGTGTGTTCATTTTCATTTGTTTCCAGGAAGTTTTTTATTTCTTTCTTGACCTTGTTGGTAACCCATTCATTGTTTAATAACATGCTATTTAGCCTCCATGTGTTTGAATGTTTTTGGGTGTTTTTACTATAGTTGATTTCTAATTTCATTCTACCGTGATCTGAGAAGATGCTTTATATGATTTCAATCTTTTTGAACTTACAGATACCTGTTTTGTGTCCTAACATGTGGTCTATCTTTGTGAATGATCCATGTGCACTTGAGAAGAATGTATATCCTACAGCTTTGGAGTGAAATGTTCTATAAATGTCAATTAAATCCATCTGATCCAGTATGTCCTTTAGAGTGACTCCTTAATTTTTTGACTGGAAGATCTATCCAATGAAGTTAGTGGGGTGTTAAAGTCCCCTATATGACTGTATTGTTTTTGATTTCTCTGATAAAGTCCTCTAGAATTTTTAATATATTTAGGCGTGCCTATATTGGGTGCATATATGTTTACCATGGTTACCAGTATATCCTCTTGTTGGAACAATCCCTTTAGTATTATGTGACCTTGTTGCCTCTTGTGATGGCCTTCATTTTGAAGTCTATTTTGTTAGTTATGAGTATTGCTACTCCAGCTTTTTTTCTTTTTCATTTGCATGGAAAATTTTTTCCCATCCCTTCACTCTCATCCTGTGTGAGTCTTTTGTTCTAATGTGGGTCTCTGTCTGGTAGATAGCAAACAGTTGGGTCATGTTTTTGTATCAATTGAGGTACCCTATGTCTGTCTGTCTATATCCCCCCCCCCCCCCCCCCAGAGAAGAGAAAGAGGAAGAGAGAGATAGAAACATCAATGATGAGAGAGAATCATTGACCGGCTGCTTCCTGAATGCCCCCTACTGGGGACTGAGCCATCAACCCAGCATGTACCTTTGACTGGAATTGAACCTGGGACCCTTCAGTCCCCAGGTCAATGCTCTATCACTGAGCCAAACTGGCTAGGACTACCTAGTCTTTCTATTATTATTATCTTAAGTTTTACATATGTCTCCTTTTTCCCCAATTGCCCCCCCCCCCAACCATTCCCACCCCGGGCAAGCCCCCACCATCCCAGTGTGTGTACATTGGTTATGCTAATATGCATGCATACAAGTCCTTTGGTTGCTCTCTAACCCCCTTACCTCCCCTGCCATTTGTCTCAGAATCTATTTTTGTTCATCAAACTGTGTTGATCATTATATCCCACATATGAGTGAGATCATGTGATAGTTACCTTTCTCTGACTGGCTTATTTTGCTTAGCATAATGCTCTCCAGTTCCATCCATGCTGTTGCAAATGGTAAACGTTCCTTCTTTTTTATAGTGGCATAGTACTTCATTGTGTAGATGTACCATAGTTGTTTAATCCACTCATCTGCTGATGGGCACTTAAGTTGTTTCCAAATCTTAGCTATTGTAAATTGTGCTGCTATGAACATATGGGTGCATACATCCTTTCTGATTGGTGTTTCTGGTTTATTGGGATATAGTCCTAGAAGTGGGATCACTGGGTCAAATGGGAGTTCCATTTTTAACTTTTTGAGGAAACTCCATACTGTTCTCCACAGTGGCTGCACCAGTCTGCATTCCCACCATCAGTGCAAGAGGGTTCCTTTTTCTCTACATCCTCTCCAACACTTGTCGTTTGTTGATTTGTTGATAATAACCATTCTGACAGGTGTGAGATGGTACCTCATTGTTGTTTTGATTTGTATCTCTCGGATGATCAGCAACTTTGAACATGTTTTCATATGTCTCTCGGCCTTCTGTATGTCCTCTTTCATAAAGTGTCTACTTAGATCCTTTGCTCATTTTTTGATTGGATTGTTTATCTTCCTTTTGTTAAGTTGTATGAGTTCTCTGTAAATTTTGGAGATTAAACCCTTATCTGAAATAGCATTGGCAAATATGTTCTCCCATGCAGTGGGCTTTGTTGTTGTTCTGTTGATGGTTTCCTTTGCTGTGCAGAAGGTTTTTATTTTGATGTGGTCCCATTTGTTCATTTTCTCCTTAGTCTCCATTGCCCAGGAGAAGAGCTGTGTGGGTAAAGATATTGCTATGACATGTTTGCTACTTGCTGCCTATGGAGTCTTGTAGGATTTTTATGGTTTCCTGTCTTACATTTACTAGTAAGTCCTTTAGCCATTTTGAGTTTGTTTGTGTGTATGGTGTAAGTTGGTGATCTAGTTTCATTTTTTTGCATGTATCTGACCAAATTTCCCAGCACCATTTATTAGAGAGTCTTAACTCCATTATATGCTCTTGCCTCCTTTGTCAAATATTAATTGAGCATAATGGCTTGGGTCAATTCTGGGTTCTCTGTTCTGTTCCATTGGTCTATATGTCTGTTCTTGTGCCAGTACCAGGCAGTTTTGAGAACCATGGCTTGGTAACACAGCTTGATATCTGGTATTGTGATCTACCTACGTCTATTGACTGGAATATTTAACCCATTTACATTTAAGGTTATTATTGATAGGTACTTATTTATTACCACTTTAATTCTGTATGCCTAGGTGTCTCTATTTCTTCTTCTCATTACAGCAGTCCCTTTAGCATTTCTTGTAATGCTGGCTTGGTGGTGATGTACTCCTTTAGCCTTTTATTGTCTGGGAAGCTGTCTGTTTTGAATGATAGCCATCTGAATGTGGTAATCTTGGTCTCAGATCCTTGGTTTCCATTACCTTGAGTAATTCGTGCTATTACCTTCTGGCCTGTAGAATTTCTGATGAGAAATCAGGTGTCAGCCTTATGGGAGCTCCTTTGTAAGTTTGCTTTGCTCTTGCTGCCTTTAAGATTCTCTCTTTGTCTTTAATTTTTGGCATTTTAATTATGATGTGTCTGGGTGTGGGCCTGTTTGGGTTCTTGCTTGGGGTTGTCTGTGCCTCCTGAACTTGCGTGACTTTTTTCCTTTACCAGATTAGGGAAGTTTTCTGCCATTATTTTTCAAATACATTCTCTATCCCTTTCTACCTTTCTGACTCTTCTGGCACACCTACTATTTGAAGATTGTTACGTTTTATGTTGTCCCACCACTCCCTTGAGGTGTCCTCTTGTTTTGTTTTTTCTTTTTGGTTCTATGATTGATTTTTTCAACTCTTTCTTCTAATTCACTGATTCAATCCTCAGCTTCCTCTAATCTGCTGTGTATTCCTTCCAATGTGTTCTTTATTTGTGTTATGTCATTTTTTATCTCAGACTGTTCTTTTTTCAGTTACTTTTTTTTTTTTCATACCGTTGAGCATTTTTACCATCATTACTCTGAACTCTGTTTCAGATAAATTTCTTATCTCTGTTTCATTTATCTCTTCTTCTGGTGACAAGGGCTACACATATTTTGGGCACAGCCCTTTGAAAGACAAATGTACCAGGAGTACTTTCTCCCTTTCTGTGACTTGCCTTTGAACTTTCTTAATTTTCCTAACTCTTTCAAAGACTCAAGGCTTTAAATTGTGGTGAAGTCCCATTGATCGATTCTGTCCTGTGTGGGTGGTGCCCTGGTTGTCCGGGTGGAGAAAGCTCCCGACCACTGCAGTGAGCCCAGGTTTCCAGGAGGCTCAGCTTCATGCCACAGGAGGTAGTTAAGTCCTGGGGGAGATCCACTCTTCCAAACAGACATCCAGCTACTCCAGTACCATTTTGGGGGAAAAACAAACAAACAACCCTTCCCTTTCCTTTCCCACAGAGATATCTCGGCCAGTCTCTATGGGTCTGTCCTGGACTCGATGTGCACGTGTCTGCAGTGAGTCCAGGAGTCAGGAGTGGGAGCTCCACCAGCCTTTGTCAGAACTGCCCTGCTCTGAGATCATTACGTCCAGGAAGTCAGCTGAGGTATCACTGCCTTTGGGTGCCCAGGCCCAGTCTCCAGGTTAAAAGCAAGACTTAGGAGAATCACGCACAATCCTCGGCAAACCACCACTCTCTGTGCCAGAGTCCGGCCTCGCGGGGCTCCTGCTCTTCCCCTGCACCCTCTCCAGCACCCGCTTCAGCAGCGGCTCGGGGCTGCTGTTCCTGAGGCCATGGCCCTCGTGCACCACCAGCTCCCGTGCAGACTCTGCAGGAAGTCAGAGCCCACAGGCTGGCTTTCCAGCTGGCTGCCTCCCCGCACCGAGACCTGTGCCTGGCAAAGGGCGCTGTCAGCATGATCCCTGGGGCCCAGTCGATGCTGCAGCACAGGGCATATCCACGGTGCTTCCACGACATGGAGCACCAGCCGCTGGACACAGGGGAGCATGATGCGATGCCCCTGCATTAAAACAGGATGACATAGCACCCCAAAGGCCAAACACGGTGACACTCCAGTCCGGGGCTAAAACTGACTGCCAGACGAGGGCAGGGACGGTCCAGCTGCAGCCCTGTGGTCTCCTTGCTACCCAGCCAGCTGCTTGGAGCTGGTCACAGTGAACCCTGACCAGTGTGCGACACCAGGTCCTCCCACACATCTTCTGGTCTGAGCGAATCTCTAGCCCCAGAAGCTGAACCAGCAGAGGCTAGACAGCCCCTCACAAGCCCAGGGACACCTGGGGTCAGGAATCATCCTACATGGCTGAGGCCTTACCTTGGCATCCAGCAAGTAGTTGTAGGGCATGAAGATGATGTCAGCCTGCTGCTTCAGATTCCGGGACAGGTAGTATGGGCACAGCCTGGGGCACAGGGGGAGGACATGAGCCTCACACGGCTGGGGGTTCAGGACATGCATCAGCAACCCTGGGCCACAGTCTGAGGCTGGGCTGGATGCTGCATCCTCTGATGGGCACGGGGGTGGGGGAAGTGGAACATGTGTTCAACTCTGGGAGCGGATCACCTATTTATAGACTTACAAAGACAAGAAAACCCCAACCCTGTTCTGAGCAGACTGGTGAGGGACCCAGAAACAAGCAGTCCTGCCCCACCACAGCATGGAGCCCTGACGCTCAGAAGTTTCCAGCGGCCATCACAGAAGCGGCAGGCAAGCGTCCAGTGGAGGGCTGAGCCCAAGGCAGGAGGGTCAGCACCGTGCCCCTTGGCCCCCCAAATCCAGACCACAGGAGCACAGTGGGCAGTCCGCTCCCCAGCAGTCACTAGCAGGCTGAGTGCAGGGAAGGAGGGCAGTTCCATTTCTCTCTCTATTCCTCCGAATCGTTCATGTTTTTTATACTGAACAACTGTTAAGTTTCATGATTAAAAGATGAAACAGGAAAGAAAAGAAATGTGTGTGTCTGCAGGCGGTGGGAGGTCCCAGCCTGGAAGGCTGTGCAAATGCGACCTGAAGGGAGGGACTTACTTGTGCCTGTTCCCACTCTTGACCAGGTCCTCGATGTCCAGGATGGGGGTGGCCAGGTCCTGCTCCAGGCTCTTTTCTGGAGACACAGACAGGAGTAAGAACACACCCTTTGGTCCTCTGAGTCCCCTGACCTCAGGATGGAATAGCTCCTACAAAGCGGGCAGAAGGTGTGGTCACCCCAAGATGATCCTTCAGGGCAGGACTGGGGTGCCCAGCCACCTGGAGTCTCACTGGAGAGAATCCTTGACCGATGGGTCTCAGGGCTCCCAGGAAGGGTTCTGAACCTGAAGTGACCCCGTGGGTGCCCTGCTCTGCACCCCAGCCTCCCAACTTGGGGCACAGGAATCTGCTGGGAACAACTCTAACCCAGGGAGGCCAAGGCCCTGGCTGGCAGGATCAGAGGTCTGTGACAAACACCCAGAGTCTCGGGACAGCCATATGTGGAAACAACCCCTGGCTCACGGCCCTCCTGTGGCAGGTATCAGGCCAGCCCTAAAGTGCAGAGGCCAGAACACACTGGGCCTTCATCAGTGACACAACCCCAAAGTGCCCCCAGGAACAGCAGGCGAGGAGGAGGAGGAAGAGCCATCCACTCCACAGCGCCATAGCAACCGATCAGCAATCCGCAGTGCTGGGTCGCAGGCCAGCCACCAGCTCAGCGACCTGATGAGGGGGCAGCAAGGAGGGCACCCCAGGCTGACTGGTGAGGAAACACTATATGTGCCCCTCACCCCAATGCAGGCTGGGCAGGTTCCAGCTCTGCATCTCTCCTTCCTCCCACACAAACCTCCCCTCCTCCCAGGACCCCTGGCCTCTCCCCACTTCTCTCTCCCTTCCAAGGGCTGCGCAGCTGCTGGAGACACCCTCACATCCCATGGGCAGGGGCAGGGGAGGCTGAGCCACAGCAAGGACCCTCACGTTTATGGTGAGTAGACCCAACAGCACAGGCGGCAAGAGCCAGGCAGAGCAGGTGGGCTGGGGACCAAGGAGGAGACTTGAAGCCCAGATCCAGCAGGCCAGCTGGGGCGGCCTCCCTTGCCTGCCACGCAGGACCTGGGGCAGTGGGGATGGGGCCGCAGCCCACCGGCCAGCACACACCAAGCTGGCACTGCCTCTGCCGTGAGCAGAAAGTTCCCCTCAGTCCCCACCCCTTCTGACCCCCTCCCTGCTCAGGGACCCTCCAGGGAGATGGGGGGCAGCGCAGGTGAAGGACCTAGCAGGTGAAGGCTAGGCCAGCAGAGAGGGTGAGCTGACCCACAGCAGCCGGGAAAGGTGGCTGGAGTGGTCCCCACCCAGTGCTGCTCAAGGCTCTGGCAATGGCACCTGCACCCGCCTCCTTTACCGGGGATGATGTGGACAGGGAGGCAGCCCTGGGGGAAAGCTCCATCGACCTTCATGGGTACAGTGCCAGGGCCCACGCGAGGCTGGACTGAGGCGGGCGGGCTGCGAGCAGAGGGTGCACCAAACAAAGGGGAAGAACGCCTACTGTGCAGCAACACCCACAGCCCGAGCAGCAACACCCACAGCCCGAGCAGCAACATCCACAGCCCCGCGCGCCAACACCCACAGCCCCGCGTGGCAACATCCACAGGCCCGCGCAGCACCACCCACAGGCCCGCGCGGCACCACCCACAGGCCCGCGCAGCAACACCCACAGACCGAGCGGCAACACCCACAGACCGAGCAGCAACACCCACAGCCCGAGCAGCAACACCCACAGACCGAGCGGCAACACCCACAGACCCGCGCAACAACACCCACAGCCCGAGCAGCAACACCCACAGCCCGAGCAGCAACACCCACAGCCCGAGCAGCAACACCCACAGCCCAAGCAGCAACACCCACAGGCCCGCGCAGCAACACCCACAGGCCCGCGCAGCAACACCCACAGCCCAAGCAGCAACACCCACAGGCCCGCGCAGCAACACCCACAGCCCGAGCAGCAACACCCACAGCCCAAGCAGCAACACCCACAGGCCCGCGCAGCAACACCCACAGCCCGAGCAGCAACACCCACAGCCCAAGCAGCAACACCCACAGGCCCGCGCAGCAACACCCACAGCCCGAGCAGCAACACCCACAGACCCGCTCAGCAACACCCACAGCCCAAGCAGCAACACCCACAGCCCGAGCAGCAACACCCACAGCCCGAGCAGCAACACCCACAGACCCGCGCAGCAACACCCACAGCCCGAGCAGCAACACCCACAGCCTGAGCAGCAACACCCACAGGCCCGCGCAACAACACCCACAGCCCGAGCAGCAACACCCACAGACCCGAGCAGCAACACCCACAGACCCACGCAGCAACACCCACAGACCCACGCAGCAACACCCACAGACCCACGCAGCAACACCCACAGACCCGCGCAGCAACACCCACAGACCCGCGCAGCAACACCCACAGCCCGCGCAGCAACACCCACAGCCCGAGCAGCAACACCCACAGCCCGAGCAGCAACACCCACAGCCCGAGCAGCAACACCCACAGCCCGCTCAGCAACACCCACAGCCCGAGCAGCAACACCCACAGCCCGAGCAGCAACACCCACAGCCCGAGCAGCAACACCCACAGACCCGCGCAGCAACACCCACAGCCCGAGCAGCAACACCCACAGCCTGAGCAGCAACACCCACAGGCCCGCGCAACAACACCCACAGCCCGAGCAGCAACACCCACAGACCCGAGCAGCAACACCCACAGACCCACGCAGCACACCCACAGACCCACGCAGCAACACCCACAGCCCGAGCAGCAACACCCACAGACCCGCGCAGCAGACACCCAAGCCCGCGCAGCAACACCCACAGCCCGAGCAGACACCACACCCGACAGCACCCAGCCCGCAGCAACACCACAGACCCGCGCAGCAACAACCACAGGCCCGCGCAGCAAACCAGCCCAACACCACAGCCCGAGCAGCAACACCCAAGCCCGAGAGCACAAGCACACCCACAGCCCGAGCAGCAACACCCACAGCCCGAGCAGCAACACCCACAGACCAGCGCAGCAACACCCACAGACCCGCGCAGCAACACCCACGCCCGAGCAGCAACACCCATAGCCGAGCAGCAACCACCCACAGACCCGCCGCCAGCAACACCCACAGCCGAGCAGAGCAACACCCAGCCTGAGCAGCAACACCCACAGGCCGCCCGCCAACAACACCCACACCCGAGCAGCAACACCACAGACCCGAGCAGCAACACCCACAGACCCGCGCAGCAACACCCACAGACCCGCGCAGCAACACCCACAGCCCGCGCAGCAACACCCACAGCCCGCGCAGCAACACCCACAGACCCGCGCAGCAACACCCACAGCCCGCGCAGCAACACCCACAGCCCGAGCAGCAACACCCACAGACCCACGCAGCAACACCCACAGACCCACGCAGCAACACCCACAGACCCACGCAGCAACACCCACAGCCCGAGCAGCAACACCCACAGCCCGAGCAGCAACACCCACAGACCCGCGCAGCAACACCCACAGACCCGCGCAGCAACACCCACAGACCCGCGCAGCAACACCCACAGACCCGCACAGCAACACCCACAGACCCGCGCAGCCGCAGGCAGCAGGGCAGGCTGCACTCCACTGGGCCACGCCCCTTCACTGCCTTCCCCAGTGTCCTCACTGCCACCAGACCCCAAACCTGCAAACAAAATCGGGTGAGGAGCGAATTCCAGGAGCTTGGGTCCACGTTTCAGGCCAAGCTCTGCAGAAGACGCCGAGGAGGGCCTGAGCCCATGCCCACATTGGGCACACACTCCACCCATCTCTCCAAGAGGCAGGGCACAGGGACATTGGCTGGGGGAGTGGGGGCCTCCGGCACAGGGAGCAGTGCTGTCCTGACCCTCTTCCAGCAAGGCCCACACACTGGGCACTCCACACCTGGACAGACGGTGGCAGCTAATGCCTGGAGAGTGCTCTGAGCCCATGTCACCTCTGCGTTAGGGTTTGAATTTCACCCCTGAAGCAGGAAACAGAGGGAAGCTCGACCTCGCCCTGGCCCCCACGCCATAGAGCCCTGACCACAGACAGGAAACTGGAGGCCACTCCAGAGGCTGTCCTGCCACCACCTCTGGAAGAAGCCCGACAGACAGGAGGGGCAGCCCCAGTGGAGAAACAGATGTGGAGGCGAGGGTACTGGTGCTGACCCCTGCACTCTGGGCAGCAAAAGTCAACAACAGGAGACGGGCTTCCCAGGCCACGGGCACCTCCGTCACACACACCAAGCCGCGCCAAGGCAGGCTGCTGCCACCAGTCCTGGGCTCATCGCTGCACTCATCTGCATGAAGCATTCACCTCACAGCACACAGGCTGGAGGAGTTGCTGGGACTTGAGAGGCCACACCCACGCTGTGACACATCGCAGGGAAAGGACACACTGCAAACTCCCCCAAAGGGAGAAGTACGCGGAGGGGTCCGGGAGCCCAGACACAGTTTCCAGAACCCTCCCCGCCACCTCCCCCAGAATGAGCTGCGGCAGACTGCGGAATGCCATGCCCGGGAAACCCACCAGGCACCCGGTGCCTAGGCTTTTTCCTGGGGTCACCCAGTGCCAGACTCCCAGAGGGAAGTGGATGCTCAGCAAAACCCACATTGTTTGCCAACAGTTTACACTCAGGGAGCCCCTCCTATCAGGGGTGGTGGGGACACGGGGGACCAGCCTTGCCAGCACGCCTTTCTGAGATGGCAGCCTCAGGCCCACATGTGGTTCATCTGCATGCGACCCAGCAGAAGTCCCCAGTTAGGAGCAAATGCCGGGCACCTGCCTCACCAAGCTGAGTCCCAAGGGGCAAGAGCCATCAGGCTGTGAGCCCCGAGCCCAGCCCCAAGGCTGCTCTCCTCCCCACTGCTGTGTGCTGACAATCTGCAGGAGCAGCCCCCGGCCCCTCTTACCTTCTACGTTGTTGTAGAAATGACAGGAGCGACTCGCCACCTTCTTGCGGCACAGGTGGATCTGGGAGGGAAAGGACATGTGATCCCAGCTTGCGTGATGGCCAAGAAAGGGCAGAGCACTGGGCTGGCCAATGAGTCTGCTGCTGATGGTGGGAGCCCTGTTCCAGCCAGCTCCACCCAGCCAGTTCTTCATCCTCTATCCCCCACCCTGGGGCACAGCGAGGGCTCTGAGAGCCGCAGCACCACCTCGCACAACCAGAGAGGACAAGCGGGCGGCCCAGGAGCCCACCTGCATGTGGTTACTCTCCTGCTTCTTCACCTCGGGGTGGATACACAGCTGCTCCCGGGAGCCCAGCACACACACCCTGGGCCTGGAAAGAGAGAATCGTGGGGCCCAAGAACAACAGGGCAATAGCCCACAGTGCTGCCCAACAGCCTGAGCTGTGTGGGCACATATGGGAGCACCAGGAAACCTGGTTCAAGTAGGCAGCCAGAGGGAGTGGCCATGGCCAGAATATCCCAGGCTTGGGAGGGGCTTTCTCCAAGGGGCCGGGGTGAGCAAGAATCCAGAAGCCCAGACTGGGACTGGCAGAAGGAAGGAGACTCGACAGCATCCACGTGCTCGCTCACAGGGAGGCAAGTGGGGCAACAAGACTCCTGCAGCTCTGCTGCTGAACCTGGGCAGAGCCTCCTCCCCTCACAGGTGCAGCTGCGATGGCCACACCACAGCTAACACGGCAGCGCCTGCAAGGAGCTCAGGGTGTAGACCAAGGTCAACATGTAGTCAGAGCTGCTTTCTCACAAGCAGTGGGCATCGGAGACCACCCAAGTATGCACGGAGCACAGCATGCCCTCAGGCTCGGTCGGGGCACAACACTGTCGACCACCGCGTTGAGGCCATTCCCCCCCTAGTTCTGCGGCAGGGTGAACGCTGCCTGACCCACCGGTAGGACGTGTTCCGAAGCTCGCCGATGACCTGTGTGAGCTGCGAGTGGGTCCTGGAGGCGTAAATGACCTTTGGGATGTCCGCGTAGCAAGCTGCCCAGGCACAAGGAAGCAGAACAGGGCATGGCTCCATGAGACAGCACTCTCATGTGCTGTTAACCCAGGGGCACTCAGCCAGCTCAGCACCTCAGACAGCTAAATGTCAGATACCTGGTATCATACCAGGAATGGGTGAGGTGGGCATCTGCAATGTCCTAATACAGCTGTAAGGCTCTGACCCTAGTTTGCAGCCAGGATGGCAAGAAGTGACGTGGCAGCTACAACACTGCCTGCTCACTGCACTCAAGGGCCTCGCCTGTCCACTCCGTCCCTTCCCCCCTTCCTTCCATCCCTGCATCCGTGCGGGAGGTCAGGCCAGGGGCTGACCTGTGGCGTCTCCCTCTGAAGAAGCATTCCCCCAGGAAGACAAGGGGCGATCGAGGAAGAGGTCCCCTTGGGTCCTCTCAGCAATCTTGCGGGCGGAGATGGCATCACGGAGGTGCTCCCGCCAGGCCAGCGTGCTGCAGAGCAGGCACAGGGTCTTCCCTGTGCCCGTGGGGCTCTCCAGGACGCCGTTCACTTTCTGAATGGGAAAGCAGGGGTGAGGTGAGGCAGGCCTGCAGCTCTGCTCAGGCAGAGCGCACCTACCAGGTGGCAAAAGTCCCAAGGGACACGGGACTGTGGAAAATCCCATAGGCCTACTTCCACTCTCCCACCATGAGGTCAGGACGGCCCTGGTTAGCAAACAATATGCAGAGTGTTTTCCAGCCTCATATAAAGAGCAAGGTGACTAATTAGGTGCCACGTCTCAAAACAGGAGCTTGTTCTGCGATTCTGGATCCAGGCTTTCACATTGGACGGAACCTGGTGGACTAACTAGCTCTCAGATGGGAGCTTGAGCGGGAAACCTGGGCGACAGGAAGGCAAAGCTGTGCCAGGTTCCTCGCCACGAGCGTCTGCTCAAGAGCAGCCTGGACACTCCTGTTCAAAGAGCAGCAGCCGTGCAAGCAGCCCACCCCCATCCGAGGAGCAACAGACTTGCAATCAACCTGTCCAAGTCCAAGGAGCAGTAGCCCCACAAGCAGCCCACCACATCAGAGGAACAACAGCAGCGTGCAGCCAGCCCCCATCCAAGGAACAGCAGCCACGTGAGCAGTCCGCCCCAGTTCAAGGAGTAGCAACTGCATGTGTAGCCCGCCCCCATCGAAGGAAAAGCAGCCTCGTGATCAGCACACCCTCTGTCTGAGGAACAGCAGCTGTGTGTGAAGCCTCCCCCCACCAGCCAGAGGAGCCACCACAGCTGTGAACAGCACCCACCAGAGGAGCTGCTGCCAACTGAGGAGCAGCTGCTACCACAACCGCCCGAGGAGCAACCACAGCCAGAGGAGACACTGCCACCCAAGGAGCAGGCCCTGAACAACTCAACATGTAGATATGTCGGTGAGATCACACACGGGTAGACAAAGAAACCCCCAAAGGAAAGAAGAGGACTCGCCAGAAAAGCAGCTAAGTGAAACAGAGGCATGCAACATGTCAGAAAAAGAATTCAGATTAAGGGTCCTAGAGTGCATAAACCGGATGGAGGAAAAAATCAACAACTTACGCAAGAATCAAGAAGAAACAGATGAAAAAAATCAACAACTTATGTAAGAACCAAAAAGAAATGGATGAAAAAATCAATAACTTATGTAAGAACCAAGAAGAAATGAAGAGTGATATAGCTGCAATAAAAAACACCATTAAAAGTTTCAACAACAGACTAGGAGAAGCGGAGGACCAAATTAGCGAATCAGAAGACAGGGAAGCAAAACACACACAAACTGAACTGCAATTGGAGAAAAATAATTAAAAGACAGGAGTAGAGCCTAAGGGAGCTATGCGACAACATGAAACGAAACAACATACGAATAATAGGGGTGCCAGAACAACAGAAAGAGGAACAAGGGTTAGAAAACCTATTGGAAGAAATAATATCAGAAAACTTCCCTGAGGTGGGGAAGGAAAAAGTCAAACAAGCACAGAGAGTCCCAAACAAGATGAACCCGAAAAGACCCACACCAAGACACATCATAATTACCATGGCAAATGTTCAGGACAAAGAGAGAATCTTAAAGGCTGCAAGAGAGAGACAGAAAGTTACATACAAGGGATCTCCCATTAGATTATCAAATGATTTCTCAACAGAAACACATCAGACCAGAAAAGAATGGACGGAAATTTCAAAGTTATGCAAAACAAAGGACTGAATCCAAGAATACTCTATCCAACAAGGCTATCATTCAATATTGAAGGGGAAATAAGAAGCTTCACAGACAAAAAAAGGTTAAGGGAGTTTATCACCACCAAGCCAGCAATGCAAGAAATGCTAAAGGGACTTGTGTAAAAAGAAGAAATAAAAAGCTAAGAAAGAAAACAAGCACAAAAAATAGAAATGGCTACAAACAAGTACCTTTCAATAATAACTTTAAACGTAAATGGACTAAATGCTCCAATCAAAAGACATCAAGTGGCTGAATGGATAAAACAACATGACCCATATATTTGCTGTCTACAAGAGACCCACTTCAGAATAAGTGACTCACACAGGCTGAAAGTGAAGGGATGAAAAAACATCTTTCAGGCAAATGGAAATGAAAAAAAAGCTGGGGTAGCAATACTTATATTGCACAAAATAGACCTCAAAGTGAAGGCCATAACAAGAGATAAGGAAGGCCACTTCATAATACTAAAGGGATCAATACAACAAGAAGATATACCCTGATAAACATATATGCACCCAATGCAGGAGCACCCAAATACATAGAAAAAACTCCTGGAAGATATCAAGGGAGAGATCGACAACAATACAATCATAGTAGGGGACTTTAATACACCACTGACATCACTGGATAAATCCTCTAGACAAACAATCAGCAAAGAAACAGCAATCCTAAATGACTCACTAGATCAGATGGACTTAATTGACATCTTCAGAACATTTCACCCCAAAGCCACGGAATATACGTTCTTCTCAAGTGCACATGGGACATTTTCAAAAATAGACCACATATTGGGTCACAAGCAAAGTCTCCCCAAATTCAAGAAGATTGAAATCATACCAAGCATCTTCTCAGATCACAACGGCATAATATTAGAAATAAACTACAATTAAAAAAACCCAAAATACTCAAAAACACTCGGAACCTGAATAGCATGTTATTAAATATTGATTGGGTTACCAATGAGATCAAAGAAGAAATTAAAAACATCGTGGAAACCAATGACAATGAAAACACAACAATCCAAAACCTATGGGACACAACGAAAGCAGTCCTGAGAGGGAAGTTTATAGCCCTACAGGCCTACCTCAAAAAACAAGAAAAAATGGTAGTAAATCATCTAACTCTACATCTCAAAGAATCAGAAAGAGAACAACAAGAAAACCCCAGAGTGAGCAGAAGGAAGGAGATAATAAAGATCAAAGCAGAAATAAATGGCATAGAGACCAAAAAAAACAATACATAAAATCAACGAAACCGCCGAAACCGGTTTGGCTCAGTGGATAGAGCGTCGGCCTGCGGACTGAAAGGTCCCAGGTTCGATTCCGGTTAAGGGCATGTACCTGGGTTGCGGGCACATCCCCAGTGGGAGATGTGCAGGAGGCAGCTGATCGATGTTTCTCTCTCATCGATGTTTCTAACTCTCTATCTCTCTCCCTTCCTCTCTGTAAAAAATCAATAAAATATATTAAAAAAAAAAATCTTTGTGTTAAATAAAATGTGTATCTTTTTGTCTTAAAAAAAAAAAAAAAATCAACGAAACCAAGAGCTGGTTCTTTGAAAGGATAAACAAAATTGATGAACCTCTAGCCAGGATCACCAAGAAACAAAGAGAGAGGACCCAAATAAACAAAACCAGAAACGATAGAGGCGAAATAACAACAGACCCCACAGAAATACAAATGATTGTTAAAAAATACTATGGACAACTCTACTCCAACAAACTAGACAACCTGGAGGAAATGGACATATTCCTAGAAAAATACAACATTCCAAAACTCAATCAGGAAGAATCTAAAAATCTCAATAGGCCAATAACTATGGAAGAAATTGAAGCAGTCATCAACAAGCTTCCAGCAAACAAAAGCCCAGGGCCAGACGGCTTCACAGGGGAGTTTTAGCAAACATTCAAGGAAAAACTAAAACCTATCCTCCTCAGACTACTACAAAAATTCAAGAGGAAGGAACACTTCCAAGCTCATTCTATGAAGCCAGCGTCACCCTAATACCAAAACCAGGGAAAGACAACACAATGAAAGAGAATTACAGACCAATATCCCTCAGGAACATAGATGCCAAAATTTTCAACAAAATCTTAGCAAATCGGATCCAGCAGTAGTACATCAGAAAGACCATTCACCATGACCAAGTAGGATTTATCCCAGGGATGCAAGGATGGTACAATATCCGCAAATCAATAAACATGATACATCACAAAAACAAATTGAAAGAAAAAAACCACATGGTCATATCAATTGATGCAGAAAAAGCATTTGACAAAATCCAACACCCATTTCTGATAAAAACTCTCAGCAAGGTGGGAGTAGAAGGATCATACCTCAACATAATAAAAGCCATATATGATAGACCCACAGCCAGCATCATACTCAATGGACAAAAACTAAAACCATTTCCCCTAAGAACAGGAACAAGACAGGGATGCCCACTCTCACCACTCCTGTTCAACATAGTACTGGAAGTATTAGCCATTGCAATTAGACAAGAAGAAGAAATAAAAGGCATCCAAATTGGAAAAGAAGAAGTAAAACTGTCCTTATTCGCAGATGACATGATATTATACATAAAAAACCCTAAAGACTCCATCAAAAAACTATTAGACTTAATACATGAATTTGGCAATGTAGCAGGATACAAAATTAATGCCAAGAAATCTATGGCATTTCTATACACCAATAGTGAACTTACAGAAAGTGAGACTAAAAGAGCAATCCCGTTTACCATCGCACCAAAAAAATTAAGATACCTAGGAATAAACTTAACTAAAGAGGTAAAAAACCTCTACTCAGAAAACTACAGGACGTCAAAAAAAGAGATAGAGGAAGACATAAACAGATGGAAGAACATATCATGTTCTTGGATTGGTAGAATCAACATCATTAAAATGTCCATACTACCCAAAGCAATTTATAAATTCAACGCACTTCCCATTAAAATACCAACGGCATATTTCACATATCTAGAATGAACTCTCCAAAAATTCATCTGGAATAAAAAAAGACCCCAAATAGCTGCAGCAATCCTGAGAAAGAAGAACAAAGTAGGTGGGATCTCAATACCAGATATCAAGCTGCATTACAAAACCACTGTTCTCAAAACTGCCTGATACTGGCACAAGGACAGACATACAGATCAATGGGATAGAATAGAGAGCCCTTAAATGGACCCAAACCAATATGCTCAATTAATATTTGACAAAGAAGGCAAGAACATACAATGGAGTCAAGACAGTCTCTTCAATATATGGTGTTGGGAAAATTGGACAGGTACATGCAAAAAAATGAAACTAGACCACCAACTTACACCATACACAAAAATAAACTCAAAATGGATAAAGGACTTAAATGTAAGATGGGAAACCATAAAAATACTAGAGGAATCCAAAGGCAACAAAATCTCAGACATATGCCGAAGCAATTTCTTCACTGATACAGCTCCTAGGGCTTTGGAAACTAAAAAGAAATAAACAAATGAGACTATATCAAAATAAAAAGCTTCTGCACAGCAAAAGAAACCATCAACAAAACAACAAGAAAGCCCATTGCATGGGAGAACATATTTGCCAATGTTATCACCGATAAGGGTTTAATCTCCAACATTTATAGGGAACTCCTACAACTTAACAAAAGGAAGATAAACAATCCAATCAAAAAATGGGCAAAGGACCTAAATAGACACCTTTCAAAAGAGGACATTCAGAAAGCCAAGAGACATATGAAAACATGCTCAAAGTCACTAATCATCCGAGAGATGCAAATCAAAACAACAATGAGGTACCATCTCACACCTGTCAGAATGGCTATCATCAACAAATCAACAAACGACAAGTGCTGGAGAGGATGTAGAGAAAAAGGAACACTCATGCACTGCTGGTGGGAATGCAGACTGCTACAGCCACTATGGAATACAGTATGGAGTTTCCTCAAAAAGTTAGAAATGGAACTCCCATTTGACCCAGTGATCCCACTTCTAGGAATATATCCCAAGAAATCAGAAACACCAATCAGAAAGGATATATGCACCCCTATTTCATAGCAGCACAATTCACCATAGCTAAGACCTGGAAACAGCCTAAGTGCCCACCAGTAGATGAATGGATTAGAAAACTGTGGTACATCTACACGATGGAATACTATGCTGCTGTAAAAAAGAAAGAATTCTTACCATTTGCGACAGCATGAATGGAACTGGAGAGCATTATGCTAAGTGAAGTAAGCCAGTCAATGAAAGAAAAATACCACATGATCTCACTCATTTATGGATAATTAAAACCATTATAAACTGATGAGCAAAAATAGATACAGAGGCAGAGCAACATCAAACAGACTGTCAAACTACAGTGGGAAGGCTGGGGAGGGTTGGGATGGGAGGCGGGTAAGTGATCAACTGAAGGACTTGTATGCATGCATATGAGCATAACCAATGGACACAAGACACTGGGGAGCATGGGAGGCTGGGGGGAGGTTAAGGGGAAAAAAAAAGGGGACATATATAATACTCTGTGTAATACTTTAAGCAATAAAACAATTAAAAAAATAAAAATAAAAGAAAGTGTATAAACTACTTTGGAAAAAAAAAAAAAAGAGCAGCCTGGAGCCCAGGTCAGGCAGCCCTCAGCGGTGGGGCTCGAGCAGGGAAGAGGGCACGCGAAGAAACGTAATGGAATACAATCTGCATCCTCCTCCCTCCTTGCACTCCCCCGAGGCTTAAAGACCTTCCACAGTGAGGACTGGGCACCGGCTGACCCTCTCTCCCTCTATGTGGAAACAGGCCCTCTGGATCCTCAAATGGCTGGCTGCTCACTGGGCCTCAGCTCAAACATCATCCCCTCAGGAGGCCTCCTCAGAAGCCTATACCTTTTGTCTTTTCTTCACAGCACTCATCACTAATGATCTTTTCTTGTTCCTTGTTTATTGTCTCTTATCCCACCTAGAACATCGGCCCTACTTACCTAACCCCATGTCCGGAAGGTGCCTTTCACGCAGTAGGACTGGCCACGGTGAATAGGCCGTGGACTATGTTGGGTCTTTGCTGAAGTTCTGCCCACGCCCAAGTTGACCCATCCCCCAGGTACAAAGCTTTACCTTCTGCAGACACTCCAGGACTTTGGCCATGTACTCCTCCTGGCATTTGTATGGCTGGAAGGGGAAATCCACGGTCACCCCACTCAGGATTATCTTGGGCATTATGGCCTGTTCTCAGGAGGGCTCCGAGGTTGGCTGACATGCAGGCTGTGCGGGTCTGTGAGACAAAACCCACTCTGAACATCTCAGGGTCTCAGCCACTCCAGGTAAGGGATGCCAGCCTGTGGCACTGGGACATGACGCAGTTTTCCAGGGAATTCCTATGGCACAGAAATGGGGACAAGACTGTTGGTAGTCAGCTTTTTTGGAGGCCAGGCCACTTAAGTCATCTCAGGCAGCCCCCACCCCCCACCCCTACCCCCAGGGACAAGGTCCTGCGGCACGCCTGTGACATCCTATCACAAGGAGCTGGAAGGTGAAGAACCTAGCATCAGCCCGGCCTTGTCCTTCTGCCTCACACAACTCATCCCGCTCTGAAAGGCGGCCAGGCTCACAGACTAAAGGAGCAGAAGTAGGGCACGGTTCCACACGCTCCACCTGCAATAATAATTCACTTCCTTCCACCAGAGCTTGAGAGGCCAAATTCTAGCAGCGTCCCATCCCAGCCTGGGCCGGTCTGAAGCTCCTGCCCCTGTGTCTCCCAACCTTCTGCTCCCCTGGCCCGGAGCTACGCCCCTTCTCTCTCTGGTGGGCAACTACGTGTAACGAAAGCCCATGTGTGCCGGCTCTAATCTGGGAGGCGAATCCGTGTGGTCCCCAGCAAGTCACTCAACTTCTCTAGGCCTCAGTTTCGCCTGGATGCCGGCATTTACCTAAACACTGAGTGCCCGCCCTTGCTGCAGGGCCCGGCCACAAGGCAACCACAGCCACAGGACCGGTTCCGCCAAGAACGGCGCCCAAAGCCCAAGAGCGCAGGAAAACTACCAATCCCAGAATGCAGCGCGGCCAAATAGCCTACGCGTGGGCCTGAAGGCAGCGCGGGACCTGCCGGGAGCTGTAGTTTCGGAAGCCGCCACTCGACTAAAAGTACCAGTTCCAGGGTCTCCGCGCCTCTCGGCCCACTAGTCTCTGCGGAAGCCTTCCACGACCAAGGGTCCCAAGAATTCACCCCAGTTAGTCCGGGGCACCAGCACGTGCTCCGCCGTCTGCCAGTTCGGACTTCGCGCGCCGAGGTGCGTAGCGTCACTTTACGTCACTTCTGCTCCCACTTCCGGTCCTTTGCATTGAGCTCCCAGCGGAAACCGTTCTCCAATTGAAGGTTCTGTGATGCCTGTGGGCTTGAAGCTTGGTTTCAAGCCCCACCTGCCTTTCTTTGACCCTAAGCTCAGGGAGGGACACTCCATCGCCCGCGGGAAGAAACCTGGGGTCCCGCCCGTGCCCTCCCTCGATGTCAACTCCACCATGGCCTCCATTCCACTATCCTTCCCTGGGCCAAGCTACCTTGGTTGCCTGGACAACCAGAACTCTTTAAGACTGGAGTCTAAACCAATTGAGAAGGCCAAAAAGCTAATTCCAATGTAACCCTGATGTTTGGGGGGGGGGGGCGGGGGGGGGGACGGGGGGCTAGCAATCTGAATCTGTGCAGTAACCTAATGTACGTTCTTGATAACCTATAATTAAGTCACTGCCCCTTTCTCCACAATCTGGTCTTGCAAGACCTGTTACCTAAATGCTCACATTTTACAGAGGCCATAAACCATGAACAATATACAACTCCCGGAGGGGGTTATCAGCGCTGGCGCCAGGCCAGGCCCTTAGGTATGGTCTCAAGGCCCCCATCCCAACACACGGGGCTTTTTGCAAAGCCTACGAAAGGTCTGGAAGTCCCATCCATATTTGGGGGACAAACCGAAGGAGATAAAAGAAGAGCTTCCACCATATTGGTTTGCTCAGACTTTGGAGGCAACTCCTCTGAGACTGCTGGCGTAATAAAGATGTGTAACTCCATTTCTCTAAGCATCGCTTGGGTTTTTTCAGTCTCTACAACACACTCACTCTCCTTAAGTCTGCAAGTGGCGGCCCCTTGCCGTGACCTGGCTCCTGGGAGCCTTACCAGCTCCTCCTTTACTGTCCCCTGGGTTTAGCCATTTTTCCGGTCAATGTCCACCACTGGTTAGGGTGGGCCCCTCTGAATTCCCAGCATCTAGCACCAACTGGCAGTCAACATGGGGCCCCAGGGATCACCACAGCTCTGTGTGGTCAGAGATACTGGTCTAGGCAACCCAGCATGTTCCAAAGACACCAGGAAGAAATCGATGCTGCACTGATAGCCCACAGGCCACTGGCAATGCTGACTTCAGAGCTCCTCATGGGCTCATTAATGTCCAGATGTTTTCCGCCAATGGCACATTTATGTCACATGTGTGTCCCTGCTGATGTGTGAGATCATGCTTGGGAAGTCCAGGACACAAGCTGGCATCCACCCACACCACCTGTTCCGATGAGGGGACTGTAGAGTGTCTACCTTGGCCTCTAAGCAGGAAGCTTGGAGAAGATGAGGAGCTCTGGCCACGCCCTTGCTTAATGCTTACCAGCCAAAGGCTTCAGAACTATCCATGCAGGCAGTGGTGTGTTTGTGCTAATGACCTCTAAGATAAATTCTTCTGCTGTGCACACTTCACAGGTGAGGGAAGAAAGCACAGGTGGTTAGTAGATTGCCCAAAGCCAGCAGCTTACAAGTCTCAGAGAGGAAAGGGAAACAAGGCTGACCAGAGCAAGCCCTGCTCAGAGCCACAGGGACCTTGATCAGCCAATAAACTTGAACTGGTTGTCTGCTTTGGCAAGCTTTGTGAGACTCCCACAGGGGACCAAACCCCATGTGGCCCACAGGACAGATGTTAACCAGTCACACACTTGCTCCTTGCTCCGTGTGCATATCAAGGTGTGTTTGTAATATACACCTGTTGGGCCCACTCCTGGCTGACTTTGATCCTTAGGTTTGTCCCTGACTTTCACCTTTCTGAGCCTACCTCATCTCTCTGCAGGTTCCCGGATTTTCCCAGAGTTTTTTTATTCCTGGCCCTGGGACTTAATTGCTTATGGAGTAAGCACTGCTCTCAGCTTTGGTGACTCTGTCCCTGAAATGGGAATGACAGTCCATTTGTCTGACATTCTAGTCCCAAAGTGAGGCGAGGTGGTCACTGCAGAAAAAGGCCTCCCATCCCTGCAAGGATCTCCCTTTGTGGGAATCAACTAGAACCCTGAGCCTGGGCGGCGGGGGGAAGGGGAGGGGGCAGAACACCCACCCACTCACAAGTGTGCACATTTGTCCTGTCACCTGAGAACTAGAGTCACTGTCTCATCTTGCCCCTAAGAAGTGGAAGCTGGAGGGTCAGAACTCACTCAGCCACAGCGAGGGGCCATCAGAAGCCTGTTTGGAACCCACCTAGATCTTGCTTTGAAGCCCTTGTCCCAGGCCCTTGGTCATTGCCCCACTTACCCTCGTCTCTGCCTCAGAACCTGCCCGTCCTCTGGAATGCCTCTCTCGGCCTCCACATCAGCCCCACCCACGTCCAGGGCACACTTTCCCCTCAGCACAGGCCTGGGCACACAAAAAGTGCCAGCAGCCTCCATGAAGAGCTCTCTGACCCCACCCTCACATAGGGCGATCCCCTCCTGTTGGGCTTACCCTGAGGAATGGGAGCTGTCTTCACCATCCCCCCAAGCCTACACAAAGCCAAGCTGGGACCAGCGAGTCCCTGCAGTGAGCGGTGAGCATGGAGGATGGGCATCTGTTTGCAGCACTCTGCCCGCATCTGACTGGGCTCTTCCCTTCCTCCATCCCTCCCTCCTCCCCTCACTCACCCCTCTTTCTCTGACGCCTGCAGCCCCTGCCATAGCCAGGCTCCAGTTCTCTCCCTCCCTCCCTCCCTCCCTCTTGCCTCCCTCTCCCCCTCCCTCTCTCCCCGCGACGCGTCGCCTCCCTCCCACCTCCCTCCCCTCCCGGCTCTGCAGCATTCGCCCGCCGCAGCTCCAGCCGCGCCCGCGCCTCCCGGCCTCCGCAGCACCCGCCGCCAGCACCATGGCCAGCACCATGTCCGGTAGGCGCCTTGCCGGGGGCTTCCCGGGACTGCAGCGGGTCTCAGCGGAGGCCATTGTCTCGCTTCGCCTGATGCTGGGGCCAGTTGTGGACTCTGTTTTCTCATCTCGGACCCACGCACCGCAAGGACGCAGGGCCGAATCCGCAGGAACCGGGGATCAGAGGTCCCGGGTTGGGGCGACCCCGTGCCCCAAGAGACTGCGACTAGGGTCTGGCGGGTGTGGCCCGGGGAACGGGCTGGGCGAGGGCGTCGCGGTACCAGGCCTGGCAGCTGGGGGGAGGGGGGGGTCCCAGGAGGTGGGCGCGCTTGCTGGTGCGGACCAGGTCCCCCGAGGTGCCCGGCGAGCGCAGACCCTGGTGAACTGCGCCTTCGCGAAAGGGGGGGTGGGGAGGAGAAGAGGGGGCCCTTTGTGGGAGGCCGGGTCCAGGACCCGCGGGGCCCAGCCCTTCCGGCGCCAACGGAGAGCTCCGAAAGGGGGGGCGGGGAGGGGGCTGGAGGCGACCCGCTGGAACCCAGAGGGGCGGCGCTCGGACCTCGCATCGCTCCCCCTCCCCTCGCCGCTGCCTTCGCGGGGACCCCCCTCTGCGACGCGTGCCACCGCGGGGCGGGGGGGCACCGCCCTTTGCGCAGCGGGTTTGGAGAGGGAGGGGCTGCCGCCGCTCCGAGCCTTCCCGGCGCGGGGCCCGGCCTCCCTCTCCCGCCTTCCTGCCCACGCCCGCGCGGAGCTCGGCGGAGGGGCGGGCACCGGGAGTGGTGGGGTGGCCGCTGGGCACTTGCCAGACGCGGGGGAACTGCCAGGGGCCCCCAGGAGCGAGGAAGCGGGGCTCGCTCTCCCCAGAGCAGTCTGCTCCGACCAGCAGCCCCGGGACCAGCTCCCTCTTGGCACTCGGCGGGGACCCGCGGGGGCGGGCCGCCCCACTTCCGCCCTGTTTCCCTCTCGGACCAGGACCCGCACTCCCGCCACCCTTCCCTCCACCCTGGGGGCCGCCCGAGGTCCTGGCTCGGCTCCCCCCGCGGACAGGATTCTCTTCAGAGCTCCGCCCACCCGCGTGGGCCCGGCCTCCACCCCGGCCCTCGGCCTGCGGCTCCGGTGCCCCGGTGACCCGTGGGAGGAGTGTGTGTCCCTGAGCACTCGCCTCCCACGCCGTCTGGGGGTCGGGTCCCTCTAGGCTTCCTCCGCACCTGCTTCTCGCTGACTTGCATGGAGATTGGGGACCAGCTTTGGGCAGAAAGAGTCCCTCCTCCAGCCAGGGCGGGTGGCCAGAGAGCTGCCCTGAGGGGCCCTGGTCCTGCTCCTCCTTGAGCCTGCGGGCGGGCGGGCGACGGCAGCCTCTTGTGGAGAGCACTTCTCGGCGTTTCCTCTCGCTCACCCTCCTTAGTGGTGAAACCTGCTCAATAGGCCTCCTCCCCCTCCATCTGACAGGTCAGCAGCTGAAAAACCTCACCTTCCATGGCTGTCAGAGCTGTGCACAGACACCCTCTGACCCCAGAGCCCCCTGACCCCAGCCCTTTCTTGTTGCCAGATGTTGGGGCACCGCTGACCCTTGCTTGGTCCCTGGCGGAGGCCCGGGCCTGGGCTGGGCCTGGGCTTTCCTGCTCTGCCGTCAGCGCCACCCTTGATAGAGTGTAGCTGTAGGTGCGCTCACCACCAGCCTCCAGCCTTCAGCACTAGAGAGCAGGGCAGCCTGGCCCAGAGGGGGCTGCGTGAGGCCCCCAGTCAGTGTGACCAAAATCGGGTTAAGTGAACTCCAGCTGTGGCTTCTCTGTGAAAGACATTGCTGACCTGACCGCAGCGCTGGCCTCCTGCTCACACTCACTGGTGGCTCTGCCCGGTCCCGGTGACCAGGGTGAAGAGTTGTCATCTGCAGGGGCCTCGCGACCGCCACAAGGTTGGTCGTAGCTTTCTCTTCCTGTGCAGACAGAAAGCTCCCATCCCCGGCCCCTACGGCCGCCTCTCCTGGCCAGTGCCCATCTCAGGCACACGGCTCTCACAGGCTTGCAGGCTCCTGCTCACTCCGCCTGATACAGTTCCTCAGGTGTGAGGTCTCCTGACTGCTACTGAGCTCCTGGGCCTCCATTCCCATCCGGGGGGGATGATAATGACAGCACCTCCCCTAGGCTTGTTCTGAGGGTCGAATGAGAGATT